CTAGGCTCAGGGTGACAAAAAAGACTGAAAATTATGGGAGTTGATTCAGCTTGATGATAACAGCCTAAGAGGGTGCCCATTTGTTCTTGCTATTGCCTACCTACTAGTTCCAGATTTTGTCCTAGGCCTGAATCCCCAGCTTTCCTTTTATACTATTAATAAGCTCCCCATATCTACCCATTAGCTTGCTTTTCTGCTTGAGTTAAATAGAATTAAATTCTTTCAGCCTAAAGAACCATATAAATAGAGAGGGAATGTATTTTTTTCTTTTCTTTTTAGTTTTCTTTTTTTTCTTTTTAAAATATGCATAAAATTTATCATCTTAACCACGTTAAGTGTACAGTTCAGTAGTGGTAAGTACATTCACATTGTTGTGCAGCCAATCTCCAGAATTCTTTCCATTTTGCAGAACTGAAATTCTATACCTATGAAACAACTCCCAATTCCCAGCCTCCCCCGTCTCTTGCAACCACCGTTCTACTTCCTGTCTCTATGAATTGACTACTTTAGGTGCCTCATATGAGTGTAATCACAGCATTTTTCTTCTTGTGACTAGCTTATTTTACTTTTAGCATAATGTCCTCAAGATTCATCTATGTTGTACACATGTAAGAAGTTCCTTCCTTTTTAAGGGTGACTAATATTTCATTGTAGATAGATAGATCACATTTTTTTTTTAAATCCATTCATCCATTGATGGACACTTGGGTTCCTTCTACGTTTTGGCTGCAATGAATAATGCTGCTATGAATGTGGGTGTACAAATATCTCTTAGAAACCCTGCTTTTAATTCTTCTAGGTATATTACATACCCAGAAGTGGAATCATAATTTTTCAAGGAACCACCATACTGTTTTCAACAGTGGCTCCACTGTTTCTCATTCCCACCAACAGTACACAGGGTTCCAATTTCTCCATGCTCTTGCAAGCAATTATTTTCTGATAGTAGCCATCCTACATCCCAATGGGTGTAAGGTAGTTCTTTTCTTTTTTAAAATGTATGTTACACCAAGGGTAGTCGCTTGCATCCACAAATGGTTTTACAGAATATCATGAATAATTAAATGCTACCCAAGTCTCTCCGGGAAGAGCTAGCTAGCCCTCTAAACTCTCTTTGGGGCTCCTGGACCCAATCTGTCTGGTAAGTTTCTTCTTTCACTGTCCCCAGTTCTCCCTACATTCCTTCTATTAAACATGGAGAGAATGAATGCTGCGCTCACTTTCCCATTTGCTTTCTCTCATGAAGAATCTGTGATTCATTTTAGACAGGATTTAAATCATGCCATGTTAGTAAATTCAAAATGTAAGTTTGGAGTCAATCACTTTTTTACAAAATGGGCGAGGAGAAAACTCAAGCCACCTGCTAGGAATTTGCCAACAAGATGATGAAGGCCCTTATTAAGAAAGCATTTAGGATCTTTCAAAAGTGCTGGTATTGTTTGTTCTGACTTGAGATAACCTAAACAAAAAAAAAAGCCTGGGAACCGGTCTTTGGCGCTCACCTTTCAAACTCTTCACAGCCAAGACTCAGACGCCTGAATGTCTCCCGGGCACATTTGCGTCTCCGGCAGCCTCCCTCTGTGCGGCACGTTTCCTCTGTTTTGGAACATTGTTTTTTGGCTTCTCTTCAACTGTGCCTGAACCAGGAGGGCTGAGACTGTTGGCGAAGTGTGGGCTAAGGACTAGGCCCCTGGATTCTCAGTCAGCCAGTTCCCAGCTGGGGTCCTTTGAGCAAGGTTCTTAAACTCTCTGAGCTCCAGTTTCCTCATCTGTGAAACAGGATATAACACTGCCTGCTTGTAGGCCTATTGTGAAGATTAATTGAGGTAATGGATGTACACATTTTCGGCATGATATTGGTGTAATAGACAGTGTAAAAATGAGTGCCATTTATTCTGTACAGAAATAAGATTGGAAGATAGTCATATCTGAAAATAAAATTATGAATGCACCTATTCTTTGAATATGTTTTCTCAACTGTTCTTGAGATTTTTGGAAAATGTCAAAAATTATACTCTAAAAAAGTTCAAGAGATATATTATGCATCAGGGTTACTATAGTTAATAACAATATACTGTATATTTAAACATTTCTGAGTAGATTTTAAGTGTTCTTGCCACACACAAAAAAAAGTATGTGAGGTAATGCATATGTTAATTAGCTTGATTTAGGCAGTCCACAATGTGCATGTATATATATATGTATCAAAATAGCATGTTGAAGACCATAAATATATAAAATTTTTGTCAATTAAAAAACCAATTATACCAATATCTCATGTTCAAAGGGCTGAGCTTTATTTCTCAGACCTACATATTTTTTTCAAGAAACATCTCCAGCATTTCTTTTTAGAAAACTTCCAAATCCACTTTTGTGTAGTCTAGAATAGATTTCTGTTATATTTTAAAAGTTTCCTCTTAGCATAGTGCTTGTATATGTGTGTATATACACATACATTAGGTGTAAGGGAAGGGACACACACATATCTTCCATTTCTTTAACTCTTACCATGAAAATTATGAAATGCCTTGCATTTTTAGAACTCTTACCTAATATTTTCAAAAAATTATTTTGATTTTTGATATTCACAGAAACCCAATGCAGTAGCAGGAGAAGCAGTTAATATCACCCTGGTTTCACAGATGAGATTTGGGGAGGTGTGTGACTTTCCTGAGACCCTGAAGCCAATAACGCAGTGGAGCCAGAACTCAAACCCAGGCCCTGTTTTCCAAATCCAATATTGCCTTCACCATATCTCACTGCCTGCCCCCGTGTGGTGGAGGACTGCTGGCAAAAAGAATGGAAACAAAAAGCAGAAATGTAAGGCTTGAAAGCCTTTTTAGAATTTGGAGAGACTGAGTATTATTAGCAAACAACTGAAATGTCATGCTAGGAGTTCAACAAGAAATCAGTAGCATTGGGGGTATTTTAATGGCTTCAGAATTTGTAGGTATATTCTTTAAAACAAAGGAAAATGAACAGCACATTCCAGATCTCCACTTTCCCATATAGGTTATTTTTATGTCCTGAATACTACATTCTTATTCTCCTTAGTAATGGATTTATAGCTTAAGTATATTTCCTGAATACTTCTTCCTGTGCACACTTTGTTAAAAGGATCAATATATATACCCCATATTTTTAATTCCTATACTACCCACACTTAGAAATGATATGAGGAGATTCTTTTTATATCTGACATTGTAGCTAAGAATGAATAAATAAATGAATGAAGGAATTAGCCTGGATCTATTTCCACATGTTATACTTATTTATCCTTCAGCCCTTGTTAAAACCTCTATAGTTAGCCATAATTGGAATAACCCTATTTTAAGACAATTTCGCATTACATTTAAGGAGCAAAAAATGTATATATTCTTAATGGCACCCCCACAAGAGAATTTATCATGTGGAAGTACCACTCCTCACATTCCAACTCTGCATATACATATATGAACACACAGAGATAATTATATGCATGAAAATTAAAATACCATTGCTTACTCTAGTGAAAAGCAGAAAACAACTTAAAATTTTCAATAAAATTGAAACGGTAGATGAAATTATAGTCGATCAAAATTGATGGAATATTGGGCAATTACTGAATGATTATTTTGAAGAATTTGTAGCACTTTACAAGGATATTTTTTGCCACAAGCAAAGAAAGAGAACACAAAATCATGTTTACAGTCTGATTATAGCTATGAAAGAAGAATCTTTTGCATGTGGTCAAAAACTTAAAAGGAACATAGAAAAGTTAAAGATTTTCCCCCTCTTGTGAATCAGTTAAGAGTCCTTGTGTCATTAAAAACAAAAATAAGAATCTGAGCTCCTTTTGGCATGTACTATGTAAAATCCAGTGGAAAAACTGTAGGTTGCTCTCCGTCCAAATTTTAGAATGGGTGTTGTGAACATGGAGTGATACCAGGACTGGGTCTGGTGCTCATGAGCCCTGACTTTGCACAGCATGGAGAAAGTTCAGAACGATCAGCAGGACTCATTGCTAGCCACGGACTATCACTTGTATCATCTCAAAACCATACAAACATGCTCTAGGTTCCACGTATCTGTTAGGGCATCAAGGTCCCAGACATCATATCTTTAAATCACTGGATCCCAAAGGGATACTAAAATTGTGGAACAAGGAAAAGTACCATGGGGAAAATTATCATTTTTTAAGTCTTTATTTTTTAGTTGCTCCTCCCATAGTAATGCACTGAAAGGCATAACAGTTTATATTGTACAAAGCATTTGAAGAAAGTACCTCAACTTGCCGATTATTTCAAAATGAGATTACAAACAAAAAGAAAACAAATCTGGTTTCTCAATAAAGGGCAAAATAACTGAATACAGTCTGTTATTTACTTCTCTCTTTTAACATCGATTATTTCAAAATGAGATTACAAACAAAAAGAAAACAAATCTGTTTCTCAATAAAGGGCAAAATAACTGAATACAGTCTGTTATTTACTTCTCTCTTTTAACATAAGGTCGGGAACACTTCATTTTACAAATAGGATTAACATGAACATAACATCGCACAAGCTTGCAAACAACCAGCATAAAATATGGGGTACAGTCTTTAATCAGAAGAATCATGCTTTCATGAAAGAAATTATAATTGTTTATACAATCGAATTGATTTCAGTATTACAAAAACTAAGTTGCATCTATTCATATTTAGTTCATTAAGAAGGAAAACAAAACAACAAAAAAAGGAATGTTAAGAAAAGCCAAACACCATTTGGCACTCCCATACACAGGTCGAGTCACCTTGGTCCTTAAATTTCAGAAAGGGGTGTGCCTCGGACGTCATAAAGTAGTGGCTGACCGGAACAGTGCTATTTTAATCAACAAACAAGAGTTTGCCAACAAATAAATACAGGATACACGCAACACACAAAAAATTAAACATTAAAAAACAGCGACATGATTGTCTAAAATTAAGATGTTATTACAAGGATTTGGCAAACATTTTATTAGTGGTACAGCGGTACTGGTGATGAACAGGTTACTTCACTGACTTAACCTCTTTGAGCAATGAACATCCATAGTTTACAATATACACATACCCTTATTCCCTAATTTTAAACAATGTACTTAAGAAGGCAAAAGTTAGGGGGGACAAGTACTCCCTGTTATCAGTTTCTATAATAATCGACTGTGCGTTTCATCCAACTACTTCCATCTTCAAAGGGTTAAATTACATAAAACTTTAACAAAGAAAAAAATTAAATCTGTAATTAAAAGCAACTGTTCCCAATCATGTCAGGTGATCTTGTACAAAAAAGAATGCAGTTTCTATGGAGTGTTCATTTGTATTAACGCTGTCATCTTCACTGCCCTCTCACCCACCCTCAGCCTAGGGCAGGTGAACTTTGCCCAGCAAGTTTTTCATTTTCATTGAATCACTTTAAGTCGCATTGATCCTCCAGAAGTCAGCAGCTGCCTTTGCTGTGCAAAACAAAATATCGAGAATAAATAGTTTCTTTTTTTCTTTTTCTTTCTTTCTTTTTTTTTAAATCATTCAGTTTAAGGTCACCGGACTTTAAATGAGTGACCCTTCAGGTTTATAAGGCATTCTGCTCAGCAGTCTTGTAAATAGTCCTATATGAAAGAGCCATGCTACTGTTGGACTTGGTCCCACTCTGGTCAACCAGGGCAATGTCATACGTGGCTTATAGATTGGATGGCACCGGATTCCGCTGCAGCCCTTGCCATACTGTGCCACACGTTGGAAGAACTGTGGGATGTTGAATGGAGGGACTCCTTGTCGGACAGTGACAACATCATAGCATATGCCTGGGGTGAAAAGGAGAGACTCAGTAAATGGAACTTGAAAACCATCATTTTCATTTGAAGAATATTGTTAGTAACTGTGGGGAAGGGATGGGACCCAGAGTAGGAGCACCCTTCATGGGTATATTAGGTAAAGGGGACATATTTTTTTGTTAAAATGACATGGGATTATTGCTGGCCTTCACTGCCTTGGGGCCACAAAAGTGGCACATCCCACAGAACAAAAAATGAATTATTCTACCTAAAATGTCAGTCGTGCTTCCGTTGAGAAACATGAGTCATCCCTCTGCCCAACCATAAATACAGTCATCTGTCCACTATACATGTTCAATTCAAAAACTATTATATGGTGCTGGCGGCCCAAACTGCAAATATTAATAAGATATAGACCTGACTTAAAAGATCTGTCATCTAGTAGAGGAAACAGTCTGATTCCTGCGCTTTATAGAGCACTGAAGGTGAAATGACTTGCCCAATGTCACTCAACTAGATAGTGGGGAAGGAAGAACTAAAACTTATTTCTGCCAACTTTTCTCCAATTCCCCACTACGCTTGAAATATTCAATGCTGACACCCAAAAACCTTGAAAGTTCAGATGGATCAAATCAGCTCTACCAGAAAATGAAACCAAACACAAGACCCAACAACGTTCTAACCAACGTGGGAGCGTGTCTGCTGAGCAGAAGGTGCACAGAGGTGCTCTGTAAGGAAATGCTTTTTCTTCCCTGTTATCATGTCAAGTTCTAAATAACTGTTCAGAGAATCCCTCATTTACTGCCAAGTAAAATATTCAAATTAAATGTTTGGTCTTGACTTGTGAGTGAACTTTTCACTGTGGATTTGCTATTGTTGGTCTCATCCATCGCTAAACTTGCTTGTCAAAATGCTGCTGAAGTGGAATCATTAAAGTCCTGCCAAAGACATTCCACTGTCTGTAAACAAAGACAAAATGCCTTGTTGTTAGGCAGAGTTTCATCTTTGGGAGTCATGCTGAGACATGTGGCCAGTCTGTGGTTTCTTCCGTAATCATGGCATTCAGTTAGAAAATCTGCCCTTGCAGGCTGATTTTGATTTGCTGGGTCATTGCGCTCAATGTACACTTTGACTTTTATGTATGTTATTTGCCTTCTGGACCTCTACAAAATCTTAGGATCCATTTAACAAGTATTTTTTAAGCATCTACTCTATGCCAGCCACTGTGCTAGGTCCTAGAGAATAAGTAATATAAAGAATTTTGTAGATTAAAGTATGGGTTAAGTGAGCATTGAACTTAAACGATCTATTTTGATTGCGTATCTACTTTTAGAGATCAAGATAAAGAATATTCTGGAGGATAAAGAAAATTTTGGAATCCTAAAATTTTAATCCTGTCTCTGCTCACCTAGCTGTGTGACTTTGGGCAAGTTGCTTAAACTTTAAAGATTCACTTTCCTCATATAAAATGGGGATAGTAATAACAGTATTTCCTACAAGGGTTGTGGAGGAATCACAGGCGATAACTTACATAAGTGCTTAGCTCAGTGTGCCTGACATAAATGGTACCTATTATCATGAAATTAATTTTTGTAGAATAGGGTTTTTCAGAGAAGATTCCATGTAGAATGAAGCCACCGTTGTAGTGGTCTACTATTTTGGATTCAATCACTATAAAAATTGCAGACAGAATAAATATATGAATGTTTTGAGTAAAGCATCTGAACCTTTAGATTCTAGAAAATGGTAAATATAGAATATCTGCCTTTTGGTAATCAAAAGAAATAAACATTTTAAATACTAGTAGCAATGTACAGGATATAACTGACAGTTATCAAACCATTGATTGAATTAATGAACGAAGAATGAATGGAAGAAGAGTATCATGAAATAAAGTCAATTTGCAAAAAGGCCTGACCATTTTCAAACTGATATGACATGATCAAGGAACAAGAAAAATATGAGCTAGGATTGCAAAATGCTAGTATTTCTTGTAATGAATGGTAATTGTTAGCCTAGCTGGGCAGACATCACGTCAAAATGGTGATACTGAAATATATAATATCCATGCTGATGTTCTCAAGTTCATGGAGTTAGGCTCCAAGAGCCTGTAGTGTAGAGGCTGGCTGCTTTTACTTCAATTCAGAAAGAACTTTTATTTTGCATATTACTGTATATAATATCTTAGACTTCTTACTGAATTGAATATTTAATTTAAAGAACTGTATTATTCCATTGACATAAGTTTTCCCCATCTTCGCTGAGATGTTACTACGTTTGCTATTTAAGTCCAGCCCCAACCATCTCAGCAAAATAGGAAATCACCTCCAAAGGTACAAGCCAATATGGTCACATTGTTCTACATGTCAGGCCATCTCCAAAATGACCAATAAATATGGTAATAGAAAGTTTCTTTTTTAAAAAATTGACTTAAGTGAACAATCTGGTTGAGTGTGGATGTCAAATAAAATGTACTGACTTCCTTTATTTTGTAATAAAAGAACCGAGGCTCTTTTAATTGGTATTTACAGATCCTTAGGTGAATTTAGTTTTAGTTACCATAGTTCTGATAGAATGCTGAAGAGCACAGTGAATTTGGGTATCATTTATTTGCTCATTCATTCATTTCAATAAAAATTGATGTTGTATTTCCAGATCTACCACTAACTTAGTGCAGACCTTTGGCAACTCATCTCATTTCTATTATTCAGTTTACTCCTAAATTCTGTAATTAGATGACTTATAAATTAACCGTACATAACAATTTACTAGACATAGTAAGAGACAAAAAGAATTAAATTCACTTTCCAAAAATCTTAAAATATAATTATGTTGACAAAAGTGACAGACACAAAGCAATTAGAAAATAATTCTGAGGTAATACATAAATATTTGCAAACAAACGTTATGGACTATCTATTCAGAAGTAATTGCAAGTAAAGGAGATATTATTGTAGAACAGGATTTGTCACAGAAGTTTCTATGCAGAATGCAACCACATCAATTGCTCTATTGGTTAACTCTTTTGGATTCAGTCATAGAGGAAAGATATGAACATTTTGAGTAAAGCATCTGAAATGGTTTAGATTTTAGAATATTTCAGAGATAGAATATTTGCTTTTTGGTAATCAAAGGAAATGTACATTTTTATGCACAATGTCACCATGATGCTATACTGCAGGAAATATGTACCTGTGACTTGGACTTTCTGTGTAACGGCTGCTTAAGTTCCTCTGGCACATGGGAAGTACTAAATGAAGACAGCTCGGCTTCAGTATATTGATTATCTTCCATTTTCCTCATTTTGAGGCTATCTGTGAAGTGCCTTATATGATCTAGAGCAGAAAGTCCAGTTTTATATTCTTCCTCTTTATACCTAAAATGAATCAATGGGAAAGCACAGAAGTTTTTTTTGTTTGTTTTTTTGTTTTTTTCAGTTTGTCATCTAACAAATCACTTTCATTTGAATCTATCTGTACAGCTAACAAGCTTTAGATTGTTTTTGCAGTGTAAAGTAGCATGCATCAATTATTGGGTTCTTTTAAATATTTTCAAATATATCTTAAAAATATATTTCCCTTAAGATTCTTAGTAACTGAAGTTAAGCATATATTTGAGATAAAAAGTTAAACTCAATGGCATGTTAGTCAGCAATGTGTGGAGACAAAATTTATGCATTTATAACTTCCATTTAAAGCAAAGCTAGTTATGATAATATTCAGTTAGCACCCACTAACTTTGTTAAAATATAATATACTCATCACTTCAAATATTTGGGGTTTTTTTTCATTTAAAAATCTATTATCTATAGAGATAACACATATATAGTGAAGTGAAATTAATCTCAATAACATTTAACTGATAATCACAACATATGGTTGGATAAATCATATGAAATCTTTATTTTTCTCTGAGTTTTATAGGTAAAGAGTAAAAATAAATGATTGTGTACTTGTGTAATCTCCATTTATCTTTCCTACCTCAGGTTAATCAGAGTTACATAAATACTGATGTATTTATATTCTTGAGGATTGTGTTTGATGGCCACCTTATTTTCACCTATTTAGAACTGATCCTCTGAGTATGCCTTGCTAATTCAAATTTAATTTTTATGATTTATTACTCACAAATTGCTTATCACCTGAAGTATTGCTCTAAAGGCAAAACAGAATGGGAGGAATTGCAATTGTATGTGGGTCTACTCTCGCCTGGTTTCTAAACTCACCCCAGGTACTCACCTTACTGGGGACGTCTTGCAACTCATCTCCAGGGCACTGGTTTCTTCATACTCATCTTCAGGATTTCCTTCATGTAAACTACTTGTCACTGGTTCCTTTCCTATTTTTCCAGTAATATCATTGTCTTCATCCTCCTCATCTAGCAATACCTCATCTTCTACTTCTTCATCATCCAGTAGATCTGAATTTTGACTGGTCACCAAAGTCTTTTCATCCTTAAAGTGACTGCCATTCATTCTTTCAAATCATAAAAAGAAAAAGGTCCAATTATCGGTTTTATTTTTAAACTTGCAGTTGTTTGTTTTCCTATCATGTCTTCCTAACAACAGTTTAGATTTTCAGCACTTACACAGGAGATTTTGTGGTTTATGCTCTACGGCAACCATGGGAAAATAATGTAATTTCACAAAAGAGAAAATGAAGAAGAAAATAATTGTATGATTATTCAGATTATAAATGGAACCTCTGGCAGAACTGGGAAAACAATCTCAGTTTCTTATTTCTTATCAGGACTTTGCCTGATAAATGATATTGTTATATATAACGCAAAAAACACATAAATGTTTTATCTGCAGAGTGTACCTAATTACCATATAAGTACTCACCATTTAAAATAATAGATTTCTGGAAAACTCATATTCTTGAGCAACACTAAAAACAGCTTCAATACACATGCCTAAAGTGAATCAAAGAGTTCAAAAACAGTGTCAAAGTAGCTGCCAAGTACCAACTGGTATTTACTGCTTTTAGGTGACATTTATCCATTTAGACACTGTACCCAAACTTGGAAGTGACTGAGAGCTCACTTATTTGTACTAGTTTCAAATTATCCTTTTTAGTCTGAACGTCAAAAAAGTTGCCTGTTTTCCAGGAGAACACTGGTATGGAAAATGATATAGAAACATAATTGTACAAATATATTTTTAAGTTTACTTAGCAAGTACGTCTAATATCATGATGCAAAAGAAGAAAATTATATTTTAAAAAGTCATTTGTAATGTATTTGTTTATGGTCGCAACAATTGTAATATGTGATTCCAGAGTTTAATTATAAAAAAAGAGATGGATTACATAGGAATTTAAATTTAAAACATTTGAGGGCATTTATAAAAATAAGATAAGTTCTTCAGGCTTTGAAATGAATATTAAAATATGTATGAATTTAATTTTTGTTCCCTTGTAAGATTTAAAAGTTGAAATTAAGGGGGCCGGCCCGGTGGCGCACTGCTACAGTGCGCCGCTTGGGAGCGCGGCGGCGCTCCCGCCGAGGGTTCGGATCCCACATACAGACCGGTTCCCGCTCACTGGCTGAGTGAGGTGCGGGCACAACACCGAGGGTTGCGATCCCGTTGCCGGTCCCAGTCCAGTACGGGCGCGACACTGAGGGTTGCGATCCGTTGCCGGACATGAAAAAAAAAAAAGAAATTAAGTTAAAAATACTTATACATGTTTTGAACTAGAGAATATCTTCTCCTAACCTCCTCCTTTTAAAGACACACTTTCCAAGTTCAGAAAGATTGTTAGGGATTAAAGCATCATGGCATCCAGGTTTCCTGATTCCCGGGCTATTCATAATCTCTCCATTTTACCTTCCTCCTCTACCTGTTTACAAATTCAGAAAACTTGTAGAGACTGTTAAGACAGTCATGTACGATTTTCACATATAACTGTTTTTGAGATTATGAAAGACTGAGTATCAGTAAAACACTCCCACAACACAAAAATGCACTTTCCCATATAACAAAATGAGTATAATTTAATATTTAGATTTCCCAGGGTAAAAAACTGAAGAAATAAAATAATCTTGGATGTGATAGATGCACATAGTAAACATCCATTTGACCAGAAAAAGTCATACCATTATATTATAAAGCTTTTTATATAACCAATCTCTTAACCTCTTTTATCAAAGAATGATGAAAACATGTTTTTGCACAGACATAAATTATTAGTTTCCAGATACACTGCCAACTTGCTAGCTTGAATGGATTGAAATTGTTATTTAAAAAAAAAGAAAAGAAAAAGAAAAAGAACAAAAGAGTGCATGGATGAAAACCAAAAGTAACAAAAGCCAACATAATTAAGAAAACCTATCTGTTAATTATGTTTTCAAATGTAGCAATTTATAGGGGATAAATTATTCATCAAAAGTAGCCTGATAGGAGTTTTGGGGGAAAAGTTAGATGACTCAACCTTCTTACTTCTGTGCTGTTTAGACATGTTGAAGCCAGATGTTGGAGCTATGAGGGCTCACAAATCTCCAAGTACGGGCTAGAAAATCTGAATAGGTATCTCAGAACCCAAATCATGTTTTTTGTTCAACATTTCTTACTTGCGTCGTGTAAATATCATTATTGAAATGTAAGATTGTGATTGTGTCTTTCATTTGTTTTTACTACTTTGTACATCCCATCATTTTCATTTTTCTTTCTTTTTCTCTCTTTCCCCTTCTCTCTCTCTCCCAGACACACACACACATGCTCACAAATGGGCAAGAAGGAAAGACAGAGCCAACTGCACAATGCTGTAGTCCTTATCAGAATTCTTAGAGGCCAGGAAGGTCTTTCTCTTTTCTTCCCTTAGATACACTTTTGTACAAGTTGAAGAACAGAAGCGGTCACATGTTTTTGGATTATTTTGATAAAAATGTTTATTTGAAGCTCGCCTTAATGGAAAAACTACCTAAAATGATGAACTCTGACTTTTAATTCCATCAAAAAACAGAGGATACAAACCCAATAATACTTATGTGATGAACAGTAATGAAACTTCCATTAACTAATTTCATGTCATAATAAAATTTACAATGCAGCATCCTAATTTAACATATCTCTGGATAGTTATGTACAGGAAAGTCTAGTTCTCTAATTATAACTTACAAATAAGAAAAATTAAATTCAGTAGTTTTGGCAAAATAATGTTTCATTAACTTCACATACAATGTGAAGTACTAGTGAAGTGTTAATTACTATTTTCAACAGCATGAAAAGCTTTTCTTTATGAATTAAGCCATATATGTTTAATGTTAATGATGATAAAGGAGCCAGAGCACCAGGTCACTAGAAACAAGGATGGTCATACCAACTGAGACAAACGTGCCAGAATTAAATGAACCCCTACGTGAGAGGACATAAAGTAGTGATAGAACCTTAATCAAGAAATATCAGTTTCTGTGTAAAAGATATTTGGGTGACACTCAACGGTTGTTTCATATATAAATACAAACAGAAATATAAAGAGAGACAAAGAGTCATGCACCATCTGTAATATATATAATATATAATAATAACCACGACTGACCACTTATTCAATTTAATCCCTGTGGTGGCTTTCCTTTCTACTTGTAAAATTTTTATAAAATATTCTATTTAGCTATCAAGAGAGGCAGAACAGCAAGGGGGTGAAATCATGGGCTCTGCCCCCAGACAGCCCAGGTTGAATCCATTTATTACTTGTGTGACCTCTGGCAAGTTGTTTACCCTTCGGTGTCTCCATTTCTTCACTGATAAAATTACAGTGGCTATCTCATAGGGTTATCACAAGAATTTAATTAATTAATGCATGTAAAGTGCTTGAATGAGCATATGGTATTTAATCTGCACTAAAATGACCAGCCACTGGGGGTAGGAGTAACCGTAGTACCAGGAAGGTGAGCACAGCAAATGCATTTGAAAACATATTCATTCCGGACATCAGAATTTAGAAAGTAAATAGCGGCTTTACCTCTGCTCTGCGTTCCTGGGAGACTGGCTACTGTGGTTGCTATTCCCAATGAAATTCCGAATTTCTGTGAAATACGCATCTTCTTTGTCTTCCAGAGTCGCACCTGTACTTTCCAGCTCAGAATGAGGTGACGACGTTGCTGTACCTGAGTGGAGCAGAAAGCCTTTGGTGACAAAGATTATTATTTATCTGGCAACTTAGTCTGAACCTATTCCTTATCAATTTGATCAGTGTTGTTTCTTAAAACATGCCCTTTTGAATATGAATAATGGTAACTGGCTGTACCTGAGTGGAGCAGAAAGTCTTTGGTGACAAAGATTATTATTTATCTGGCAACTTAGTCTGAACCTATTCTTTATCAATTTGATCAGTGTTGTTTCTTAAAACATGCCCTTTTGAATATGAATAATGGTAACTCTAGGAGGTCAAAGTCTCCCCAATTTTACCATAATACACATGCTTGTGAAAACCCCTGGGGAATATTTTGAATTGAAATCATGAGGAAAAGACTTCCAAGAATGTCGTTTCTCTCACTCTCCTTCCTCTACTCCCACAGTGATGGTGACATGGGAATATAACGCGGAGATAAGGTGAGGCAAATTATAGACAGGTCTTAAATAGATTCTGCCACAAGAAATGCAGCCTCAGTCCTGATTGCATTCGATGTGTATTTATTGCTGCTGTGCTAAAGGATGTTACAAAATAAGGACTGAGACACTCTGAACATACTGCACCCTGATTTGGTAGGCTAAGCCACGAGTAGACTCAGGACACAGCAGCCCAGAGCCTGTGTGGTACAGTAGAAAGAGGATAATATTGAACATGCCGATTATAGAATGATCTTCTGCTTCCTCATAAAATTAGAATAATAATGCCTGTCTCACAGGATTGTTGTAAGGTTTACATAAATTTACACAATTGTAAACACTTTACATGTGGTAGAACTTTTCACCAATATTAGCTTCATGTTTATCTTGTCCACAAAGTACCTACAATTTAACAGTTCATCCCTATAGTCTATATGACAAAAGCAAGAGGATAGACCTTCCCCTCAGCTTAAAGAAACTATAATGTGGGTTAAAAAATAAGTATTCAACTTTGACATGTTACATTTTTAACTTTCTCTTTTTCCTGAAACAACTTTAATAGTCTATATGACAAAAGCAAGAGGTTAGACCTTCCCCTCAGCCTAAAGAAACTATAATGTGGGTTAACAAATAAGTATTCAACTTTGACATGTTACATTTTTAACTTTCTCTTTTTCCTGAAACAACTTTGACTAGAAAATTATAGTAGAATGCTATAAGGATGCACACAGAAAGTGTGGCTGGTTTCATACATTGGATTAGACTTTTGTGCCTAAAATCTATTATTTTAAAACCATAATTCATTAGATTCTTGGCTTTGTGGGAAATAAACAGTATATGGTAAGTCACCATGTAAGATCATAAATGATGTTCTTTTACATTGAAGGAAGGGTTAATAATAAAATAATTTCCTTAAGTAAAGATTACTAGTCTGGATAAATTCAATTTTTTTTCAGTTCTTAAAATTTCTTTTCTTGAACTCCATACTCACCAACCCCCAACTCATTTCCTTAGTTTTCTAGAAACAAATTGTGGCTGCACAGGTTGGCTCCACACATATATGCCAGCTGGCAAATATTCATGAATGGCTTATTACTGATTTTTGGAAGCCAAAGACAAGAAACCTACAATTGTTTCTGCTAAATATGTGCTGGCAAGTCCTAGTTAAGAGAAAGTTAGTTTTTTGCAGTTACTTTTAACTTAATTTTACATCAGAATTTGTCAACAATAAATTGCTGTATAACTACCAGTAGCTAGTAGAGAGGACATTGAATATTTCCAACACAAAGACATGACAAATGTTTGAGGTGATGAAATGCTAATTACTCTGGTCTGATCACTGCACTTTGTATAAGTGTACCCAAACATCACATTGTACTTCATAAATATATGCAATTATCATGGGTCAATTAAGAAAAAGTAAACTTAAAAGAAAAATAAAAGAATACAAATAGTAGAAGAAGAAAAAACAAAAAACACTATCATTTGCTGTGGGTTGCTCTGATCATGTCAACAGCCTTATATCTCTAGTCTTAAAAAACATTACCCTGGAAAGTTCTCTGAACTGCAGGCCTTCTGCAAAAGAAGCCATGGTTTCTAGATTAATATTCAGAGTATGGCATTCTGGGGCTGCCACTCTGGAAATTCTGCCATGCTTAGGAACCACATTCTGTGGCTATAGATGGAAAGATTGTTCCCTGCAATATAGAAAATCTTGCTTCATAAATTTCCTGTGAGTTTGAGTCGTGGTTCTCTTTCCTTGGGATTGCCCATTGAGATTAATTCAGGAAGGTAAAAAAGTAATCCAAATAAGACCACTGAGTGGTGCATGATCTCAAGAAAAACTTGCTGTGAATTTTCACAATTGGATCTGACTTTGCGTTGAAATGTAAAGAAAGAAGAAAGGTCACAATTGTCTTTTAAAGTATGAAAATAAGTCATCTTTTCCTCATAACACAATTGATTACCTACCAGACATGTTCCCATTCTCATGTTTCTTTAGGTGTCTGTCTAAATTGGTTTGTTGACCAAAACACCTATCACATAAGTGACACTTAAATGGCTTCTCCTTATTGTGGATGTTGCGAACATGCCGCTGCAAGTTAGAAGATATGCTAAATGATCTGTCACAGTATTTGCATCTGAAAAAAAACACAGAAAAAATATTTGATAGCAAATCAAAACATACTTCTCAAGACCAGTACACCAGATATCAAAAATCATCACCTATAAAACATTTTAGAGGAAAGGCACAGTGAAAAATATTATTCACCCAGTCAAAATATCAATTTGAATAGTCTTTGATTGCTTTAAAGATTTTCATGACTTTACGAAAAACAATAAAATATTGGTGATCTGATTGCTCCCAAATTTATTATGGTAATCAGTTCCAATATTTTAAATAAGCCTCACAAAACTGAGGACATAAATAGTAGCATTGTTTTATCTTCTGCTTATGACAACAAAATTAAGCCCTTTGTAAGCAAACATGAAACAAACTCATGTGTTTTTCAAAAAAGCAAAAATATCACTTTTTAATTCAAAGTTGCAGTCTGATTAACAAATTCCTTAGTAAGTTCACTTTCTCGATTGCTAATTCTAAGGAAAATTCCATTATGTTCTCCAAAATAGCAAGAAATATTCTGAACTTTGCCTCAAAATGAGACAATATTCTCATTTGTCTAAAAATGAGACAATGTGAATAGTATAGTCTGATATCCAAAACACGTGATTTTCATAACACATGATTAGGAATCTCCAAAACCTTTACTCGATTAATCTTTAAACTTCCAAAAGCAAGTAATAGTGCCATTAAATTCTCCTTTTGGAATAAAAACAAATGTCTTTATTTACCTTCCCTACTGTGTATTTTCCTCAATTTCCATTTCTACTTTTCATAAAGAGTCTGTAGCAGTTCTGAACCAGGTCAGTTTTTCAACAAAGCACTCATTATTGGTTGGCTAATTGTTTCTGCTTTCCATGTGATAAAAAATCATAAATTATTTTAAAGTTTTCCTTTATTCATAAAATAAAAATATAAAAATGTAAGACCCCCATCTCCCCAGCTCTTATCAGTGAGGAAGAAAAGTAGTTTTTGTAACTGATGGGGTTATTCTCCTCTCGCATTTTAAAGTAGATTCCAACATTTGTTTATGTGATTTTCTGTGTGTTGCTTGAAAGATTAACTGACTTTCTCCAAATGACTTTTAAGTGAAAATTTCTAACTTACTGGTCAGAAAATTCTTAACTCATTCTTCCATGTGTGAAGGGCCCTTCTCCCACTTCTGAATGCAGACTCAGGAGTTCAAGTGCTCTGAGTCAGAAATCACTCTACTCCACTTGAACTACTTGGGATTCTACGGCTGTCCTTAGTGATGCCAAAAGTCTAGTCAGTTCAGTGGGAAAAATAATCTATTGAACTGGTTACTTTGGCACGGTATCAATAAACCAACTCAAGTACTGATTTAATTTCCCCCCTTGAAAGCTATTCTGGCATCATGAGATTCCACAGTTTTCCTCATAATATTAATAAAAAACGTGTGAAACTACACATTGATAGTAGTTGTAAAATTTTAACCTCTGCTTTTGAAAAAAAAAAAAAAACTTATGTTGTCATGCCCTTCTCTTCAGTAACTCTGTTCACCTCCAAGGCCCACCACAATGAGAACTATGCTACGTTTAGCACACTGTATTGTGCTAACTACAACAACTTAGGAAACACTGATACAGAAAACTTATACACTGGTCAAACACTTGAGAAAAATTTTCACTCAAAACATTTTCTGCACAAATCACAAGGAAGAGAGGTTTTGTCTATGACATAGTTCCAACTTTCTGCATGTACGCAAAGGGGCCTTTTCAAATCTAGAAAACATCATAGTCTCAAATCTGAATAAAAATGGCCAGTAAGAATGTTCTGACTAATGATCAGCTATTACTTTGTATCCTTCCTCTACTAAGATCTTAGCCAAAAGAGCTCTAAATAAAAAATTATTTTATTTTACTCCAATAAATTAGTAGGTGATTAAAGGACAGCTCAAATCAGAGCCTACATTTTAGAAAATTTTAAATGAAGACATAACACAATCATGAGCAGTATACTCTTAAGTCTCCATAGTTACAGACATACACATAGGGATCAAAGGAGCTTTTGATGTTATGCTACAAGATAAACCCTGAAGTGAGAGCTTCAGGCCTGGGTTTTAATTCTGACTCTATTAGTACCAGATTTTACTGAAGTCAACTAGCATCTATAGATTTGAATTTTTTCATTTGTAAAACAGAGTGGCTGAACAAATTAAGATCTCCAGATATGCCAAAATTTGTGTTTGTATTTTTTTAAATAAATGTACAATAATAGCACCGTTCACGAGGTAGAATAAAACCACTGAATTTAGTTAGGTACAGAGAAAGAGTGAAATGAACATGGCATCATAGTTGTAAACCAGTACCCTTGGCCATAACAAAATATGAGTATGGAAATCTTTTCTTCCACTTAAGCAGGATTCCTGGAAGATGGGGTTTTCTCAAAAGGGGAACTCATCTAAAACTTCCCATTATTATATTTCTCTGAAATCTGTTATTTCAAGTGCATATATTATCATGTATAAAGTAGATATATCATTTATGATTAGTGTTTTGTAAAACATGTAGAAAAACAAAGAATTTTAAAAAACACTGTGATTTTCTGAGTTTAAGTCCCTTTGGTTTTCTCCTAAAATTTCAATTATCATCAAATGAGCATTAGTCTGCCCATTTTCTTATTATTACATGTAAAAAAAAAAACCCTGTGAAATTTAATAAATTATTTATTTATTTATTTTAATAGAAAAAATATTTGGTCTGCCCATTTTCTTATTATTACATGTAAAAAAAACCCTGTGAAATTTAATAAATTATTTATTTATTTATTTTAATAGAAAAAATATTTTCAGACGAAAATAATTTTACACATACATAATGCATAAGAATTTCAAAGGAGAATGAAACTATATTACTTAAGATAAATAATATTCATTCTTTGAAGAAATATTTATGAGAATAATGTAAGTTATATTTTAAACCTAGAAAGAGAAATGTTGCTTATTTTTATTCTTTCATGAACAATAATATTAAAATTGGGTGTGTCCCGTGGGTCATAGAGCTAATCTTAACACAACAGAATAAGCTAAGTGGAACTTTAGAAAATTGTTGATTTTCCTATAATATACTCTATTTTATCTGTTCTACCTCTAGCTCCACATTTTCTTCCTCCTCCCCAGCTTTAAGATTTTTTCCTCAAACCTCCTATGGGGACCTGTGGACACTGACTTAGCTGTGCTGGGAAAACAAAGTATATATGGATGGTTAACTCCTAGCAGAGATTTAAGGCATGGAAAAGGGAGGCTGCAATGTTATGATTTTAGTCAATTAAAATAGTACTAATTATTGCAAAGAGTGAGCACGAAAATAATAAAAATAATTTTTAAAATGGCTAACATCTCTTAAATGCTTATTCTGAAACAGACACTGTGCTAGAACTTTCAAACTGAGAGGTGGGAAGCCTTGATTAAACAAATTAAGACTCTTCTCATTTTGATCCTACACATTAGTCAATTCTTCCTTGACCCCAAAATTGAATAGACATACATTCAGACATGCGCAAAAGTAGCCTCCTTTTAAATTTTTGCCTATGAGTCCACTTTAATTATTACAATATCATATTTACCAAACTATTTAGCAAAAATCATTGTCAAACCTGTAAGGCTGCTCTCCCGTGTGGGTTCTCAAGTGCCGTGTTAGGTTCGCAGACCTTGGAAAAATCTTGCCACAGTATCTGTTATGAAAACATGTTTATAAGAGAAAGTCAGCACAGTCGACTTTATTTCACTAGAGCCGCATAACAGCCAGATGCTTATTCCTGATTTAATTAATCTTGCATGGAACTCACATGTCTTTGGTATTTAAATTTTGCAACAAAGCCATTCTACAGATATAAATAACTCTATGAATAAAAGTTGTGTTATAAGATCTGGTTGAATCTGCTCATGCATAAGCAAGCAGTTTATGAAAATAGACTTTAGTTTTGATGACCCCCATATGCCTCTTTTATTAACTCTGTATCTTTACATTCACAAAACTGAACCAGACAAGGAGATAAAAAAAAAATGACAAGAGTTTGTGATTCTGGGTTGATGTAAACAGATTTCAAATGTTTAACTCATTTTACATGTCAGCCACACTGACAACTCCCTATATGCTGAGTGGTATCAGACCAGACAAGATCCTGAGACTTCATCCATCAAGGTATGTTCCCATAAAAGCTTTTCTGGAAAGAAAGTGACAAATTTTCCAAAGAGCAGAGAAATGGATATGCCTGAGTCAGATAACACACATTGAAGACAATTCAGAAATTATAAGCACAATGTATTAAAAAAAAAAACACAAAAAAACCCCAGAAACATAAAACAAGCTTTACTCTACTACTGATGAGTAAGAAGAAATTTATGAACTTGTTTTTTTCACTGATGGACCTTATTCGTCCTTCATTAATGGCCTTATTCTTCAATGCCATGACAATTAATAAATGGATGCTGAGGACAGTAGTATTATACCTTTGAATGAAAATAATTAACTGTGAAAAAATTTATAAATATCAAAGTGAGTCAAGTAGATGGGATTTGGACTGTTTCCAACCTCATTTATCACAACCAAATGGCCTGTGTTAAAATTCTCATTTAATAATAATTTTTTAAAACCACTATTTTTATCTCTCACTAAATAAAAAGTACTTTGAAGTGTGTGAGATCTATCATGGTTGCTATTAATCATCTAATCAGGAATAATTTCTAAAACAAACAGCAGGGCCTTTCGAAATTAGAGGGGCGAGTTTTGGAAAGTCAGCCATGAGTAACTTTGCAGTTACCTGCAGGTGTAGCGCTCTTTCCCCTTCCGCAGGAGGTTCTCCGGCAGGGCAGTAGGAGGTGCTCTGAAGTTAAACATGGAGGGGAGAAGCTCACTGGCCTCAGGTTTCAGAGCACTAAAGCTCTCTAGCTTTTCTGCCATGTTTTCAATAGCTGACATCTGAAAGGCAGAAGCACAAGACCATGAAGGGTCTGACATCTTTCCTTCTATAATAATCTCTGGCAAACCAAGGACATCATTAAAAGTAAAGCATCAAATCTGCTGAATGCAAGGGGTTGTAGAGAGTCATTGTAGTGTCCTAATATGAAACAAGTTAGACAATTGATTGATTTGGGAAATAACAAAGGTAGAACCAAGCTTATAAAATGCTGGGTGAACTTTTTTCATAAGGCCTTGGTTAGCCCATTTTACAGTAATCTGATATCCAACTGAGCAATGAAATACGTAAGAGAGATAATAAAGTCAAATTACCTCTTTATTTAATTAAACAGCAGCATTAATATTATGTGTGGACATCAATGTAATGAAAATTATAGAAAAAGGTGCTATATGCCTTGACCAGGTAATGAAAAGCATAAGAATCACAGTCTCATGACAAGAACTCGCAGAATCAAAGAACGTCATGTGTTCCAGAGTTACAGCTTAAGCCAAATGTGTATAATCCAGAAAGAAAAAATTAAATGTGTAAGATGTGTTGACTAAAGACTGCATTAAATTACTACGTGGATATAGCAGATTTTTAAGTGGGATCATATACAAAGAATTTTGATGAAATATTAATTTGTTCTGGATTAAGACAGTTCGTGATATACTAGTATAATTTCATATAACATAACTTGGCATGCTTGTTCTTAGGCAAGAGAAGCAGTTCATGTAACCACACTCAGAGAAATATTCTTGAAAAATAACTAACCTGCCTAATTCTTTTCCCCTAACAGCCTAATTTATTTTGCTTATAACCTTCACATTTTTGTCCACTTGCACACATATTGGACAGAATCACAATCAGAAGGGGGCATTTACTTTTAAAGTTAGCTTGATCCTTAATGTCCACAATTAGAGGGACTCTCTCCTTTCCTTCAACCCTCCCAAAATGTTGTTTTCTCATTGTTCACATTTTATTTGGAAGCTGCTTACTACTCAATTTTTAAGGAGAAAAAACAAACTCTCAGACCATCTTGTTAAATCAACTCAGCCATTATTTATCTGTTTCTCAGGGTACTATACCACTAGAGAGCTCTAAAAGCTATTAAAAAAATATTTGTACTCTATATGCATTCTGTATGCTTCTCGAAGTGTTGGGGTAGTAGACCAGAAGACACACAATGATAAGATGGTAATAACTGTAAATTCAAGCAAGTGGTCAACCCAAAAAAGCCTTTTTTTTTTCTTATGAGACAGCAAGATGGAGATGGAGTCCTAATTTATGAGCTCAAATTAAAAATAAAAGGTAACATTTCCTACTCAAAAGGAAAATTCACAAAACATATATTCTGTGGACACACAGCTGGACAAAACACCATCAAGTTCTTAAGCAAGAGCAAAATCTTAACAGCATGGCCTGAACGTGATTTTCTTCTCACAAAGGGAATATCACATGTTTGATTCTTCAAATGACTATTCATGTTCTAGTTAGCTCTCTTTCTTTTCTCTTTATCCTGGAGCCTGCCCTCTCATTTCATGCCCGGACTCCTAATGCTAGCTACAAATTGCAACGTACAGGGTACCACTGCCGATTTGCCAAATGTCTTTCATCAAACACAGTGCAAAAAAAAATCTCAGAGGAAAGTCAAGATACATTTACTTGTCAGACGACAAATGTGAACGCATTGGGAGGCAGTAAGAGCTATAAGCTCAGGGGTTTGATTCATAATCACTCAGCTGCTAAAACATTCTCCACAGATGCAAGTGGACAGCACATTTGTCACTATGAAGGATTTTGACACATACTGATCACAGGGCAGAGATATGGAATGATGATGCTGCTTAGAGGGGTTAGAAGAAATTCTGTCTCTGCAGGATATGGTCATTATCCCCTTCTAGCTAGAGCATTAGCATTTTCATATTACTTTGACTTTTGTTTATTAAAAATCAATCCAGAAACATTTTATGATACTATTTTATTTGCATTTATTTCTTCTAATTGATCATTTTGATATTCCATCTACTGTGGAATAAATTGTCTGACTGAAAAATGACCTCTGCCCTTCAAGCTGATTAGCAGTAACAAGCAAGGATAAGGGTCATGATTGCATGTATTTATTGGGAAGAATAGTAAGTACATGGTTGGTGATTATAAATGTTTTATTTATGTGCATTTAATATTAGAGTAAAGTTTCATTATCTAGCAGTTTTAAATCATTTGAGTGTCCGCCCTGCTGACATACTCAGATTTCTGCAGCAATATATCTTATAGAAATACTTTTCCTCTTATATGGAAAATAGCTTACTCATGACTATTATTATTCTCAGCTTTCATCTCTAGCACACATAAACTACAAGTCCTTCAAGTTATTTGAGAGCAATTGGCTGTTGAGAAATGTGTCTTGCTTTAGTAGCTGCTAATAGCTAGCTCCTTTTGAAGAAAGATCACTGTGATTACTTTACCTCAAAATGTTTCAATTTGGGGAAATCATCAAGAAACAAGAAAATATATTATGGGCTTGATGGCTAAGTAACGACCTTCTTAAAGATAATAGGAAAAAGAATAGGGGTTACCTAAGTAGCCTCTCTTATACGACACCCCCACCTTTGGCTTTGTGTCAAATGAAGAGAATTACATGGGAATGCGGGAAGGGAAAGAAGATGGGAAGTAAGCTGAGGGCAACTATTAATGCCACACACATACACACATGGACACATATACACCAGTTTCTACCCAGCTAGCAACCACTGAAACAAGATAAAAGCCTTCATTGAATCCTTACTTTCAACTTCCTAAGACTTGCCTTATAGCACAGTTAGAAAGAATAAGTTTCCCCTTTAGGGTAGATTGAAGTAATTTGGCCATCTGCCACTTGGGGTAGATTAGCAGTTCTATTACCAACATCAGGCCTATCTATACCTTAGGATAAGGTATAGGATTAAGATGAGCTTTATCTAGCCAATGGATCAAAACCCTAATGTTCTCTTGCTATCTGGGCTGACTGATGTGATGTTCCTCCAGAAATAACATATATTTTACAGGAGAAGTAGTAAGTTTTGAAATTCATTTTAAAGCCTGACTTGTTTTTTCAAAAATCAAGATAAATTGGGATAAATAGAATAGAATCTAGCTATATTTTTTCAATTATGAAAACTACAATGAAAAGGGCAATGTGTACTACTATGAGTAAGAAATTTGCTGAGAATGGGAAAAATAAAGGGGGGAAAAGTTCAATCATATATTTTAGAAATGTATTGCCCTGTGACCTATTCATGTCATAGGCTAATCTCAGAACAGTAAGTGACAGTTTTTTCTATGGAAAGTAATTTTTATTTACATATATAATAGTTGTCGATGGTATCTGCAGCCAGATGTCTGCAAGAGGAAGTTGTTTCACCCCCTTCTAGTCCCCAAGAGGCTATTAACTTTATCCTGACGCAAACTAATATTTAGACACAATTCCCTAGCTCCTACCAAAAAATGTAGCTATCTCTCTAGTCAAATAGCCTTTCTAAAAACATTTCAGGAGGCAAGATATCATCAACTGAGTCCTAAGCACTCAGCTTAACATTTATTATCTGGCAGCCAGTAATTGATGACATAAAAGAGTTTCTCATTAAAACTATTAAAGTGACAACCTGATTATATGAAATGATATGTCCAATGGCACCATGAATTATGTGACCTAATGTTTCACAAATTAGATTACACATGCCTTTATCATAAAATAACTAACTTTTCATAAATAACTTATGATGGGAAAGTTTGTAGATTTGGTAGTTTTCTATATTTATTCACTTGATAATCTTGAGAAATCTTAAAACCATGGTCATTTGGGGGAGAAGTAAATACTCATATTTTATGGCTGTCTCACTCTATGTATCACATTCAGCAGTCATGATTATAAAATCACTTAGTTTTTTTTTTACCTCTAAGAATCATAAACATATATCTTTAATATTTCCCACTAATGTCTGCTTTATAATACAAATGTAAATCACAGCTCTCTGTCTCACTCTATGTATCACATTCAGCAGTCATGATTATAAAATCACTTAGTTTTTTTTTTTACCTCTAAGAATCATAAACATATATCTTTAATATTTCCCACTAATGTCTGCTTTATAATACAAATGTAAATCACAGCTCTGAAAAACCTGTGACTCAATAAAATGGGAGTGAGAGTGTTTCCAAAGCTTTGCAATAACAGTTGCTATGCTGTCATATTATAAGGAGAGTCTAACTTACAATATAAATTGGCTTTGTAAGCTGGTAGAAGAATCATCGGCCATGTATGTAACAGGGGTGTAACACCCTAAGCTTCAAGCAGCTGACAATATACATAGGTACTTCAAAAAGTTTGAGGAAAAATGGAATTAAAAGATAATGCAAATCTTTCCATGAATTTTTTGAAGTACTCACATAGCTACTAGCAAAGTCATACTGTACCTTCAAAGGGGTGAAGACCATTAGATGCAATACTCAGGACAGATCTCTACCAGAAAAGGCAGAGGAGGAACACCGGAAAACCAAGCCAGGATAATTACAGAACAACCCGTTTACTGCACAACTTTGCCTCAGGTAGTGGGTCTCTCTCTCTCCGTCTCTCTCAATAAATACTTTCATAATTTTGAAATAAAAAATGTGAAAATATCAGAATGAGAAAAATCAAAATTTGTCACATATTCCATGAAAGAGATAAAACAGAGGAATTTCTGGTACAGAACAACTAACATCAGCTAGAGGAAATAGGTCAGGGCTAAAGTGCTCCAACTAAAATTAATTTATATGTAACTATACAGTGGCTTTAAAAGGACAGCTGAATTATATCCCAAGATTTTGCCTAGTCCTCAGAAAGCAGCATAATTTTGAGTGAAGAAGAGAAGAGTAAAAGAATGTGTACTTAGAGGAAATTCTGTAATACATGTTATTTCCATTGACCAAGTTTTATTTTGGGGATGAAAAGGTAGTATTCTTTGTATTCCGAATGTCCTCCCCAATAAAAATAAAGCTGTCCCCTAGTATCACTAACTGAAACTAACTATATCTGGAAATAGTAACTGAAAGTTGAGAAAGTGAGACCCATTGCTAAAAAATCTATTTACTAGTTAAATATGGATTTTTAAACATTTAGTTTTATTTCTCCAAATAGCCAGAATCAGTTTCTGCCTTGGGATATATGGATCTGAATTTCAATGCTGCCTGTGTCTGCACATAAGTTCAGGTTTTATCCTTTAGAAGGCTTTATCAAATGTACTTTTAACATGCTGATACAGGCCTCCCCCAATAACAGTGTCTTAGTGACCCCATTCTAAAGCCACTTTTAACAACGAGCTCCCAGGTGTCCAAAAAGAGTTCCACATCAAGGTATAACCATGTGGAATGGGCCAGATTTATCAAAAAAAATAGTTCTGTAAACAATTTATACCTCAATAAATGTCCAGTTATAACTGAAAGAATTATGCAGCTTGACAGAGCAGGGAAACTGTCTGCTGATGCCATATTATTTAATGGAAAGGGGCTCAGAATTCTTTATGTCTGTACAGCAATTTAGAATGTAAGCTATTTTCTTTTTAATGCTACATTACTTTAGTTAAAAATATAAGTAGGAAACTTACCCAAGTTCTCTGATCAGGCAGTTGGAACTGGGAGCAAAATTGAAACAAAAACAAGAAATTACTTCTGTGTTGGTAATTTATTACAAGCTATCCTTTGAGAAATTAACATTTATACTAACTTAGTAATTTTTGCTTATAATTTAACTGTACCTTGAGTAAAAGCTTTGGAAATAAAGATTAAATATTTTTATAATAATACATCTGAGTTTCCTCTATTTACCTAAATTAAATTTTAGAGTCGAGGTTATAAACCAGAATGCTCTTTCCAAGAAAGCTAAACACTATCTACTACCAAATCTTATAGCTAAGTAGATGCTTCCTTTTTATCTGCTATTACTCATTGCAAAACAATATCTCTAAATTTTACTTTAATAACTAAAAATGAAGCAATATTCTGCAAAAATAAAACCTCCTGCATTTTTATAGTGTTAATAACACAAAATATTTACTCTAATGTGAATCTTTGAGTAACAAAAAGATAATGTTCTTGAAATTCACCACTTGACTTTTAGTAGTATGGGATTCAGACCAACAGCAGTCAGAATATTTAAGAACATTAATTAAAGGAATTAAAAAGGTTTAATCATTTATGATGACTTATGACAAGATTTACTGGGGAAAACTTCAGTGAATTAGAAGCTCTTCCAGGAAACACAAAGGTTATACCCTTAGAAATATCATTTTGCTTGGTTAAGGGGATATCTATCTTGTTTTCATAAGTTTGGTCATCTTTAATAAGGAAGATACATAGTTTTTAAAGGATAAAAGTATTATCACAAAAGGAATTTATAACAATAGGTAGTACTTGTTGAAAGCAAATAAAAGAAGGGCAGAAAGACTTAAGTGCTTTTCACATCAATATATAAATGTTAACTTGGCAAAACACTAACTCATACCTCGTTCCTTGGAACTTTAGTAACAGGATAATCAAACAATTTAAAAGAAAGGAAGTGTAATGGACTGAATAAAAGATAGAAATTTAAGTAAAAGAGAGTCTTTCTTGCGGACATACACAAAGCCAAACACTTGAAAATAAAATGTGTAAATGGGAGTGGGAGTGTTTCCAAAACATAACAAACATTATTTTACATAACCAAAAATAATACTAAAAGTATAGGAAAATCAAACCTAGGAATAACAGCGAGTTTTACAATAGGGTAATTGCCAAATGATTTCTATGGCAGTTAAATGAGCTACCAATGTGAATGCAAGTATCCAAAATAGAAATCAATGAAATGACATTCCAGAGATCACATGGTAATACTCATACTATTCCTTCCATCTTCTTACCTATTTGTGTACATCATCTCCTTTTCAAAATTATAATCAAAACTATGGACACCATCAATAATTTTCAACCATGTATCCAGAAAGAGCCTCAACGATGCTTATTTCTCCCTTACAGTAAACTAACTTATTTATAAGAGAAAAATGGAAGGCTAATGGTGGTCTGATAAAGCAAACATTCTTTTTTAAGAATTGAACTGAGAGAAATTTAGACCCTGAGCATGTATCTTTTAATTTTGATGTATGTGTTCATGTGTCTTTTAAGTTTTTACAATTTAAAAATATATATTATTATTTCAAAAGGCAGTAGATGGTCTAATAATCTTTCAATAAAATTCAATATTTATTGAGGTGTTCCTTATCATTGATTAGAGATTGTGGACTGGGGAGGAATGTACTGGGTAGAATACAAAGATACACAAAAACTTGTAAAATCAGACTTGCCGAGAGAATACCACTACAAAGCACTTCTATATCTGTTTATATCTTTTCCCTGAAGCATTGAGAACATGATCTCCTCTTTATTATAATAATCCTGAGAAATAGCTAGGGCAAATCTTATTTCCATTTAAAGATGAAGATCTAGAAGCCCAGAAGGACCATGTGATTTGCACCAATATACTTTAAATGGAAAATGAAGGAATGAATGGCCTTACACAAACACTTTAGCTATGAAATCATGGCAACACTGGGAGCAGAGCCAAGTCCTTCTGTTTTGTCCTTGCTCTGTGCCATCCTTACCGCTGCCCAGTAAGGTTGTGCCATGAACACAGCAAGCATCTTTCTAAGTACTCCAAGATACATGGCATAGCCCTGGCACAGAAAATAGGCTCAGGGAATGGGAGCAGGGCATTTTACCAACATTCTTTGATATTAACAATGGAAAGCATCTGTATCCGTTAATAAGAGCTCTTTTCATTTAGGTCTTTCCATATGCCAAACACAATGCTAAACATGTTATGTACATAAATGCTGATCGTTACAGCCACCCTGGAAAGGCTGAGAGGGATATTCTCATTACACTGATGGAGAAGGCTCTGAGAGATTAACTACATTTTTTAAAACCTAAGCACTTTTGCTAATAAACAGTGAAACAAGTTGTGGAGAAGTTACTTCTAGCTCCAAATACCAGTTAGGTTTTTGTTTGTTTGTTTTAAGGTAGATCTTACTAAGATCTACCTTGATAAGATCTTTAAGGCTAAGATAGAATTGATATAGCACTTGACAAAAACCAAACAAAAAAAATCTGCTGTAATTTTGGGACATTTGAGGCAGATTTTCTGAAAGAACAGATCATTTGGTCTGAAGATCTGGTAAAAATGGAGGAGAACCCAAGCTCCCCCCACCTGCATCCCAGCAATACATAGCATTACACATTAAATCAGCCATGATGGTTATGAAAACAATGAACTATTTCTGTAGTAGCTGGTAAACAGCCTATGTTCTAAGCACCTTGAATGTTCCCATTCTTCTCTGGACTCTTTCCCAAATACCCCTCAGACAGTTCCACTCTGCAGCAAATAAACCATTAACAATTGGTACAATGGTCTCCAGAGTGGTAGGACGCCACCCTAATTGGTGGGTATTTGTGATACGCCAGGTCTTAAATATTTTGATTGTTACTCTCAGGTCCTGGTCTAAGAGCAACATGCAGTAGTAATAGGCAGTCCCTTCCACCATGACATGACATTCTAGTGTGGGAAGGAAATATACTCTGCTGGTTGCTCTCACAGGCATGTTTGTGAAGATCTGAAGAAATGATTGCTGAGCTCCAAGTACTGGCCACATGCCTTATCTTTTGTGATCCTTCATTAACTTTGGAAATTTTAAAATATAACATATTGTCTCATATTACTTCATTTAAAAATAGGTACATACTATATTTATAATAGCTGCATGCACATATAGTTTTTAGTAAACAAAATCTTCTGAATCAGTAAATTTACCTTGGGTAGCCAGAAATCTTTGAATTTCAGAGTGGATAGGGACCTTACACCAAACTCATTTTACAGATAAGAAAACTGAGATCCAAATAGACTTAGTTGCTCAGAGACACTGAATCCCAGTCTTAGTTTTTTTTTCCATTACACCATGTACCTATGTCACTCAATTTTAAAATGGTTTATTATGAGACTTTTAAAGATTATCAGAATATAAAAATAATTTAATTGTTGTAATTAAATGTTTATAAATATTACATACCTTTTTTAAAAGATTAATTTTAAAAGATTAAAAGATCATTTTTAAAGATTATAATTAGAAAGGAAGTTATCAAGACAGATGTACTTTCTGTTCAGTATCTGAAACAAATGCATATTATGGTCAGGTTTATTAGCCCATGAAACCCTTCATGTGCTATTTAGATCAGCCTAAATATACAGTATAAGTCCCTGATAAACATTTACTGTCTTAGAACTTGCTTCTTTTCTATAAAGAAATTAAGTCAGTTATATCGTTTCTTAGTTTTCCTATATAAAATTAATACTTAACTGGAATGTTTCTAAAACTTTTAATATTCTATCATATATTTTCTCAGTTTGAAATAAAGTGAGAATTTTTGAGCAACAATAGATTTCTCCAACTCACCCAGGAGATTGTATTTCTACTCTCATAATCTCTGCTCAGGACTTTGGGAAGGTACTTGAAAAAGTGAAGAGGTAACAGAGAGGGAAAAAAAGAATCATATCCCAAGATGAATTAATTTCATTACCTCATAGCTTTCTATAAGACAGCTTGCATGAATTTTCACCAATTTTATTAGAGGACCATCATTTTTGGTTTGAACTTATTGCAACAAAACAAATTAGTTTACTCTGCTTTCAAAGCATTTTCATAAAAATTTTGGCATCTATAAAGATCAGAGCTTGTATCATTTAAACAAAAACAAAATAAAATGTAAATTAAGAAACCAGATTCAAGATGTTTATATATTTGTTCTTTCAGTACAGTTCTTCAGAGGTTGATTAATATGTAAACCAGTTTTTTAAAAACATGACCAAATATGAAAGGACACAGAGATGAATCAATTAGATAACACTGCTTTGTATTTTCCTTGCAATGAGAAACTGTATATATTTTGATAAATGGATACACTCCATTCAAAAAATAGCTCTGTGCATTGTGGTGAATTCTTGTGCAATTACAGAACTTTGCTGGAATGCCCAGTGGTCTCTAGATAAATTCCTTCACCCTGTATGGTAACAACTTGTCAGGTAGACTCATTTCCTGTTTTTATCTAAGCACTAAAAGAACAGGAATGACCTTTGTAAATTTGGGACGAGTCATAATATAATCCACTTTTTAGTATCAGCAACAATTAAAAGCAAAAGACAACTTCAATATATTCTTAACTGAGTGCTTACTCCAAAATGCACTTTGGCTCAGTAAGTAGTTAATAGCAGACAATAATTTAACACCAAAACCATGTAATTTTTCAGGTATAATAATTTCTTTTTCTTTTAAGAGCTTGGGTTTTAATTCTGCTAGAATTTCCTGTGTTCTTCCACACCAGCGTCATAGGAAATCCTAATGTTCTCGAGATTTCTTTCATTTCTTTGCACCTGCTTTTCAGGATCAACATGTTACTTTACAAGCTTGAAATCTCAAATTTGATGTACTTACTTGTGGGTGAAACAAGAATCCTGGAGAAGGTCTCAAGTATTTCTCTTTTAAAGCTTCAAGTGGGTCAGTTAGTTTCCTTTTCTCTACTCTGAAAGGTTAAAATTAGATTTTGGAGATGAATCGGTCTCACATATCAATCACTACATAATCGCTGACATTTAAAACACCTAACAATAAAGCAAATGGTAGGTTTCTGGAAAGCACACTAATAAAAATACAAAGACGTCTGTTCAGTTCTTGAATACTAGATGCACAAAGGAAGAAGGTCTTATTAATAATGGAAAAATCCTACTGAATGGACTGGTAATAATAATGAGGAAATATGGAAAAATGAGGAGTCACTAAATTTGAGGCATTTGTCACAAATTCCTCTTCAAATGTAGATTAAGAACGGCTGGTATGACTACATTGTGTAATGATAAATATAGTAATTATCCTGATTTGAGGAGCACATATTACACACAGATATTGATATTCAACACTGTTTCCCACAGATATGTACAATCAATTATGTTTCAATTAAAAATAAATTTTAAAAAAAAGAATGTGTGGTGATTTTGAAATCATGAGGACAGGGCTATTGTCAAAAATTAAAGCAATTTTCTACCAGGAAGGTATTCCCCCAAATATTCATTAAATTTCTTCCATATTTGCCAATGATAGCAAGGGAGTTTCCAAGAATACTATGTACTCTGCTAGCCACTCTTTGAGGTATAATCAAAGATATATACATGTGCATGTATGTATATACATATGTGTGTTTATGTATGTATGTATATATATATGAGTATATATATATACACATAAGATCTTCAAAAAGTTCATGGAAAAATATAATTAAAATATGATACACAGTGAAATAAGTCAGGCACAGAAAGAGAAATATCACATGTTCTCACTTCTTTGTGGGAGCTGAAAATAAATAAATAAATATACAAGTAAACTGGGGGTGGGAGAGGGAAGAAGACACAACAATCACAATTCCTTGAAGTCGATACGACAAGCGAACAGATATGAGGTTGTTGGGAGGGGTAGACAGGGAGGAGGAAGGGAGGTTTTGGTAATGAGCCACGATAATCAATCACATTGTATATTGACAAAATAAAATTAAATTAAAAAATAATAATAAAAAAATATGATACAATCTTTCCATGAACTTTGTAAAGACCCCTTGTACATATACACACAATCTGGATGCCATTGCTGATAAAGAGGGCAGGTGGGAGGGGTGGTGAGAAGGGGCTCAGGAAGACAGAGACATATAAAACTTACCTATATATCCCTTCTGCTTTAGAAATGTTTGTCACTCTATTTTCCATTAAGCACATACGGAAATGATATCATGAGCTGAATTAATTTCTTTTACCAACTGTTGGCAATTTTCTTTTAAAAACTGTTGTATACATATACATTTAAAACAGAATTAAAACACATAAAAATAGCTACCACTTCTTGAAATTTTATAGATGCTGTGTTTTGCATATATGATTTCACTTATTGGAATAGGTGATGTTATACCCATTTTATGGGTGAAAGAAAAAAAGCCTAGGATATGGGAAGGCTGAGATTTCAACGCAGGCTTGGGTTTAGGTTTTTAATGAGTTTGATAAAATGACAAGCGTTAATGGAGACTGAAACACCGGAGAGAAGATGGAGGTCAGAGTAAGAGGAATGTTAGCAGGTGATGGGGAGGAATGCTGTGAATATGTGGATGAACTGGAAGCCCGTTGCCATTGGGGGAGGGTAAGAGAGAAAGAAAGAAAGTCTAACAAATGTGGAAACTATTAATTATTTTCACCAAAGACTGAGATATGTTGCTGAACTGGACATAAAACCTTTCTGGAAATGTGTAAATGTTTATCAGAGACTTATATTCTATATTTAGGCCAATCTACATAGCACGTGTAGGGATTCATGGAATTGACATAGGAATTAAAATATAAAAATTGAAAAAAGTGCCCAAATATGGTACTGATAGCACTGAGATATTTCTGTATTATCCTCTTTTACTCCCCTTGTGATGTTCAAATGGGGGTTCACTTCACATACTGGCAATGTTTCTTTATTAATGCTTTGTAGATAATATAGGTAGGAGAAGGGTTTTAAGTGAAAAGAATTTGCAGCCCTAGGACCTATTAAGCAACAGGAACTCAATAAATATTTCTGAATAAAAGAACAGTATAAAATCTTCTCTTTATAAAAGAGAAGTAGGCAAAATATAAAAAAACTCTCATCATAAATAAGTTCAATAAAAAATTATCCACATATTCCATGAACTCTTAACAATGTTCAAGATCTGAATAAGAAAGTGTGAAAATGCTTGGTATTATTTAAAATATGTAATCAGTGTAAAAATTGTTATTTATAGCATTTAAAGAAAACTAGTATTTAAAAACTAAATCAAGGGCCGGCCCGTCGCTCACTCGGGAGAGTGCGGTGCTGATAAAAACTAAATCACCTTGAATGGTCAAGTTAGTGTTACAGAATACTGTGGAAGAAGCCTTTTATTAAACATGTAAGTTTCGCCCAAAGAATTTTTGGATACATCAAAAGAAACCATATAATGAAGGCACTAAACAGAGACATGTTTTTAAAGCCAACAACCCACATTACATACAAAACATGTTTTTGTGATTAATATTTCATTTTCTTGGAACTCCTAAGTGATTTATTCAGAAACAGACAATGACCAGTACTTACTAAGGATGTATTGGTAGGTTAGCAAAGAGTAGAATCTTGCTGTTCTACATCCCATCTTATTCCAAATAATCTAACCCAGTTAAGTACACATACATATTTGCATCAATCCTTCAGGAGCTTCATTCTTCCCCTACTTGAAAATTTGCTTTAAACATGACTTTCCCATATTTTCCACTCCAAAAAAAAATGTGTTTAAAAATAAACTTATTGTCCAGGGAAAAAAATTCTGTGGGCCTAGTCCAACCCCGCAACTTCAGAGACATCTAGAAATAAGTCCAAACCTATTGAGCCAACTTTCTGAATAAAAATGAATTCACTACATCAATCTGTTCTATTATAATAATTATTAAAAACGATTTGTTAAAAACTTGTAGCTTTATAGTGTAAAAACTACCTTTTGTGCATCTGTTCATATTTATTCATCTCCCATCCACCCTTACCTGTAAATAGGGTCCATAAAGAAAGGAGTGGGTCTTGCATGCTGCAAGGAACCATCTGCAGCCGGTCTTGGTTCCACGCTGCTTCCTTTCTTTTCCCCAAACACATGGTTTTTTCGAGGCTCAGTCAACTTTGTCCCACTGGCTCTACTCCTACTGCCCATACTTAGATCCAGCGGCTGGTCTTGGCTTGTGGCAGGTGTCGCTGGAGGCTTGGAGGGGACTGGAGTCAAGGGCTTCTCATCCTTTCTCTTAGTGGTGAGGTCAAAGGGGGACTCAGAGCATCCTTTCTGCAGTTTCTTTACTTCGCTTGGTGATTGGGGTTCCATTTTCAAAGGTAACGATCTCAAGTCTCTATCAGGAAATGGGTACATTGATTGAGAGAATGCTGGAAAAAATGGGAGGGGAAACATGGAAGGGTAAGGTAAAGCTCCAACTTTTTTGTCTTGCAGCCCCACCAGTCCTGTTGAACCAAAGTATTTTTCAGCAATAGAAGCAATAGCCTTTATAGAATCATTCACAGCTCCTGACACGGCAGTTTGCTCCTCTAAAGATGGTGAGAAAATGGAATGATTGCTGTATTCTTTCTTATTATTTATTGAAGCCAGATTCTGAAGAGGGCTTACTTTGTCTTTGAACATTTTACCATTTTCTTTAAATTTCTCTTTATCACTTTCAATGTCACTTTCCAGATCAGAGCCCGAGGTTGTTTCCAGGTCACTGCCACTTGGTGTACTGACATCATCAAGGTCACTACTCTCTGACTGGTCACTGATTTTCTCAAGGGGCCTCTCTTCAGAGGACCTCTCGGGCTGGAGCTCCACTGGCTTATTGTCCCCTACAGGTGGGTGTTTAGATAGTGCCTTCAAAATATCCTGTGTAGCTGGCAGTATCTGAGGATGTGTCATGAGGGGACTTTGACTTTTGTTTGTCTGTTCAGTACTTGATAGTCCTTTAACAGGAGAACTAGCAGGTATCAAAGGAGGCCTGTGGTACAAGCCGGAAGGAAACAGACCAGGGAAGCTAAAAGAAAATCCAGGAGCTGTTGGAAAGGTAAGACCAGCAGGATGCCTATTGGCACCAAAATAGTCAGCAAGGCCCGGGTTGGCATGACTCATATTAACCATGGACGTTTTATCCATAGCTGGGGTTCCAGGAAGTGAAATGCCTTGGCCAAAAAATCCACCTGCCGCAAAATGGTTCTTGCCCTCACAAAACCTCCTGTGTTTATTTAAGGAAGACGTAGTGCTGAACATTTGTCCACAGTCTTTGCACTTGATTTGGGTTCTGCAATCAGCATGCATGCGCTTATGACGACAAAGGTTTGAAAACTGAGTATAGGATTTATGGCAGACCTCACCTGTGTGCAAACAACAAAAGAGAATCTCAGGCTTTATGGCAATTGCTTCTGAATTTAGCAAGTATCACAATTGGTTTACCCAAAATGTCAATTAGGAAGCCAGGAAAAGATGTTGGAGGCACCAATCTGGGTGCTCCAAACACAGAAAACCCCATTTCACTAGATTCCAAAGCAAGGCATCCAACCTGACAAATGTCTTGAAGCAGCACAAATATCTCATATATATATAAATATTTTGTCATCCCCACTGTACAATATTTTGCATAATATCTATGTATTTCAAATATTTATGGAAAAGTCAAATTCCAGCATGCATTGATTCCCCACACCAAAACTATACAAGTAGAATCTTAAAAATGAAAGTCTTAATATGTTTTTAGTATGAAACATAACAGGAACCCCCTTAAGATTTTAGACCACTTAAAGAATTCTATTTTCTAGGTATCAAAACAAAACAAAACCACCTTCCCCTAGACCACAAACTTCTATGAAACATAACAGGAACCCCCTTAAGATTTTAGACCACTTAAAGAATTCTATTTTCTAGGCATCAAAACAAAACAAAACCACCTTCCCCTAGACCACAAACTTCCCCTTTATTACCTTTCCCCTTGGGGAAAAAGCCTGTGACTGCTCTACCATTATTTAATTGGAATTATATCATACGCTCTCATCATTCACACATCAAAGCCACACAACAATGCACATTGTGTATTCTGAGACTTTTTTAACAATCATTTTCATGATTTGAGAAAGACTGACATAATTTACAATGGCTCTATTTTAAGCCTGCAAAGGAAACTAAATTGAATGTAGCCCATCCTGCATTGCTGGTTCCCATGAACTATGATCACGTCCTCTGACTTCCCCTCACACCAGTGGCTGTGCTAACCTTCCTGCATTTATGAAACCCGCGTCCTTGGGAAACATGTCCACGTGTTGTCATATCTTTGCCGGTTATCTCAGGGCTTGACTTCTATGTGTTGCAGCAGACTATGGTAAGCGGTGGAGAATGCTGGGCAAGCTCTAATCCAGAGAGAAAGACACAGCAGTGGGCACGGCTGCAAACTGACCCTCTTCACCAACAAATTGTCAATAAAGTAGAATGTCTCCCTCCTTACATAGCTAAGTATATTTTAAGACCAAACTTTGTAACCCCTAAGAACTCCTTTGCGAGGTACGAATCCCGCTCACACTACAGTCCAGCAGGATTACAGTATCAGTTTCCTAAGCATCAGATCCTTTATTTTATTTTACTGGGGATGAGTCACTTTATGTGTGAGCTTACTTTAATGCTTCTGTGCATGTTTAATACATGCAGAAACATGATCTACCTTGTTGGTAATTGTTGAAATACATTTATTTTAAGAAATTAAATTGAAGAGAAAATGCAACATTTATTGCTTTCATGTGATGCTGCCTTTAAGTGCAGAATGGTTGGGCTCCTAAATGAAAGCAATAACTTAAAACAAACAAACAAACAAACAAACACCTCATGCAGAGGAGATTTTATAGACCTTCAGTCAGGCAAAACTCACCCAGAACTTGGATTATCCCACACACATCCAAACAGGAAGCACCAAGTGATTTCATATCTATTTCTTTTACTACTAAAGGCTAAACTGTATTGCATATATCAATGTGGTTGGTAATATTAAAAGAGCGTTCAATGGTGGGATGTTTCATAATATTGTAGAGGATGTAACATACATTTTAATGGGAAGAGAAGATGTTGGTGATTTCAAATTATCCTACCAGAGTCTGCTTTAAAAGTATATACTATTTAATCATACACAATAAATATACATATTACTTAAATTATTTTATACAGCAATTAAAATCACATGATGGAGAGGGTAGAAACAGACTTTCACTAAATCTAGTATTCAGCTATGAACAATAACAAGAAATAGTAAATAAAACATCGTTAGAATTACAAAAATATACTCATTAAGAAAGTAACACCTGTCCTCTGGGCATGAAAAGGCATTAAGAAAATGCCTTGATGGGTATGCAACCAAGGCATAAGTTTTGGAAAGGCTTGAGACTTTCTGGCAAGGAGGTGTTTCTCTCTCTATACTTCTTTCATATAGCTGGATGTCTTTAAGAAAATCAAGAGCTTCTCTATATGGGAGTAACAGAAGGCACATTTGACTTTACTGGTTGTACCTTTTGTTACAGGGATGAGTATCTGCGTCTGGTCTCAAGAACATAGAATCTGGGATGTTTCCTTAGGCAGTCTTTGCTTTCAGCACTTGAAGGCCTCGTCTGGCACAACACAAACTACCAGGCCTCCAGGTAAACTGGTTCAATTGATGTTGAAGTCTATACTCTGCTGTAATTTCCTTAGTGGTAAGGAATTAGCCAGCAGTTAACGTTGCATTTTTCTACTTATTAAACAAATTAAGGGGCATTTTGAATATATTCAGCCTATTAGAGCATGTGGTTTCTATTTGGGAAGGCTGGAGGTTTCTGTAAAGGCAGTGAGTAATTACCTTAGCGCTGGTGACTTTGGGCTCAAGCTTGGGGGCACACTGTAATAAGAGACAGTTGCCGTAAACACACCAGTGGGGGTAAAACGTGGTGTGTGGCCTTCTGGTGAGAAACAGATATCAGCTCTAGATGAACCTCCTCCACTCCAGTCTCCACACCACCTCCTGATCCTTAAACTCTTTTGTTCTGAAATTATATGGCTATTATTCATAATTACTCCATGATTCTATGTCAGGTTTTATATTTGAAGAATGCCATCTGCTATTTAAATTTACCAATAATTACTGAAAATACATTCATGGGAAATACTTTATGCAATCTGATTAGAAAGGGACCCCCTAAGGCACTTTAAAGTGAAACACTTGACTTCCACACAATTAAAAATTCCAGATCCCAGAATCTTAGATGATAGGAGTCTATATTTTCTGACTTTTATTTCAAATAATAGAAAGAGCATTAAATTGGTGACCAGAATTCCTTGTGGTCTATTCCACTTTTTTTTTCACACCCAAACCTAATAATACTTACTAAAATTTATTTCTGAGAAATCAGAAATAAATGAACTATTTAATACAGTATGCTGATAGCACTTCCAAGTACATTTTCAGTGCATTATGACCTACAGTCAGGAGTGCGTTTTTTAGACAAGAAGTCTAAAATTTCTATTGTACACTTTATTTCCCATGATTTTTAACAGAACTTCCCCATGGGAGACTAAGCACCCTTTTGTTTGTCTGCTAGTCCTCTTCATTCCACTCGGAGAAAAGAACATACGAGCAAAACAGGACTCTAATGTACACTGGAAAAGGAAAGAAAAGCTCTCTTGGTGTTTGGAAGCACAAGAGAAGGCTGTGTCAAGGCAAAGAAGAGGAGAGTTGGTCTCTGGCATTTCCATGTTGGCACTCAAAATTAGGTTTTTTTCCATCAGGTCCTACGGCAGTGTCACATACATCTACTGCAAACCATCTGGGTATTTGTCAGAAAAACTGTTTTCCAAGAGGTTCCCAAGTAAGAGGTTTTGCCAAGTGCTGAGTATGTGTCAACCAATTCTATTTGTATCTGGATCCAAAATCAGTCTTGAAGTTTATAGTACAACTCAATGAGTCTCTGTATTTATATGCCTGGCTGAGCAATGGATCAAAAGAAGCCCAGAGTTGTTGCCCAGATGGCCTAAGAACTACTGACTTTCCTCATGAACTATTTCAGCACAATACAGAGAACAGGAGTGGGGTGGGAAGTAGAAGCAAATGAGGGCTGAGTTTTACTTTGTTTGAAGTGTGTTACTGAAGTGCTCCGTACAGGGATGTTCTAAGTAGGTGGTCAGGTTGGATGTCCCCTGAAAGTACACTGCCTGTAAATTTGCTTCAGTGCAGTGCATAAGAGAAGCAGCGCATCCAGCATCAAAGTGAAAATGTTCTGCTTTTCAAGTAACAGAGAACTACCGATCCAAAGCCTGTGATTGACAACAATGGGTAGATTAAAGAGTATTTTATTCCCCTCTCTGTCTCCATAAACACACACTCGCACACATACACAGTCATAGCGTACTTGCCAGGCAGGGTTCTTCCAGCTCTTTCTGATCCAGAACAGGTTTTTAATCACTTTGTCTTATTCAGTGCTATCTGTTATTTGCTGTTTTACAAAGCCATGAATATTTACAGTGTGAGACAAATCTCTGTCTCGATTAAATCCTACAACCTGGGGAGGCTTCTCTTTCATTATTTAATGACTTCTCTTTTCTCTACCTGTTATTGATTTCATGTAAAAGGAAACACCCCAGGGATTGTAGACAAAAATACCATGAATCTGGTTATAGAAGATAGTCTTGTAACAGAAAGTAGCCCTACTGGATTGGACCATAAATAGCTAATACAGCGACCCCTCAATGGCCATGTGTACATGTAAAAGGAAACACCCCAGGGATTGTAGACAAAAATACCATGAATCTGGTTATAGAAGACAGTCTTGTAACAGAAAGTAGCCCTACTGGATTGGACCATAAATAGCTAATACAGCGACCCCTCAATGGCCATGTGTGACCACTCTCCTGATCACAGTGTGTTTTGTAGGAGAGACAGATGCGGAAAGGAGGGCTGGAGTGTTAAAAACTTACAGATAAAGGGCTTCACACTGCTGTGGATGTGCTTGTGTTGTTTGAGGCCCGACGAAGTGGCAAATGTTTTGCCGCATTCCGGGCACGCGTGGGCCCGGGCACCAACATGCTGAGAGCGAATGTGCCGCTGAAGGTTGCTAGGGTCCGTGAAAACCTGCTAGGAAATGAGTACTGATTAATCAAGAAACTTAATTCAAGGACACAATAAAGAAGACCAGGGATGTCTCAAGAAGGAATTTTGTTTATTTGTTTTCCCCAAAGTCCAAAAGAAAGTCATATTTCCAGAGTGTACTTTCCTCTAGGATAGGAACTGTAAATTATTCAGCTCTCTATCCTTTGCATGGAGTATCCACTGGTATCAGTTGAACAAAATAATGGCACTATTCAAAGCCTTTTTGATCCCATGTAGAGTGACTGGAGTTGAATAATAAAATGTCGGCCGTGCCATTATTAAAACTGGTGGGCTATTTCCACTCTTTAAATAGAGACACATTATGTACAAAAATTGGGTAATTTTGACTAAAGTACCCCAAATCTATTCAAAGAGTTTCCCTAGGGGTTTAATTCTAGCACTGCATTTCAGAAAGTTACTGGCAAACTAAATACATTCCTTTGGATGTTGTGTTAAAAACAAACAAAATGATGAAGTCACCCGATACAGCCAGGAGCAAATCATCCCTAAAGATTATTTCAAATGTCACAATTTCCGCTGGCATGAGAAAAGGTATTCAAATGCTATGAAAAGGTTTTGGAAATAGAAATCAACTTTAATGACACTAAGACATCTTTGAGTTAATTAAGAAACATGAAAATAAAAATATGTGAATTACTGTTACTGTCGATCACAGTTATGGTCTAAGTTGAGCACTTCCATTTCACTCTTACGTTGTTTAGCACTGACCACTAAGACAGAGGTTCTATACTTTTACTTAGAACCAAGTCATGATTTATGGTGAGGACTTGGGTGGAAAAATCTGCAAGCGCAGGAGTCTCCCGTGCTTTCTGAACAGGCATTCAGAAACTTTATGTGACTTCCTCACAAATTGCTATTAAAAAAAATCAGCAATGTGCACTGGATAAAATTTTCATTCTCCATAACACTATAAAATAACCCCACACTGGCAAGTCAGTAGCAGAACCAGGAATTTACCAAGGATGTCTGACACCTAGTTCTGGAACTCACCATTAAGCCTCACTTCCTCTCTTACAAAAATAAAAGGATACCCAAGAAGTGTTTTTATACACTCTGCTAATGCCTTTTAGCATACAACACTCAGTGTACTTTTCTCAAGATATTTATAGTTTCCCTCTCAAGGCTTGTTTTTACATATCATAGCAAGTGATGAATTAAGAGAGAGCAGGATGACAGAGAAGCCAAGTAGCCTACAAATTCACTGTACCTTGGCACAGTTTTCACATTCATAGTGCTTTCCACTGTCATGTGACATCTGGTGGCGAATTAAATTGGACTTCCAGTTAAATGCCTTGGGACACTGATCACACTTGTATTCCCTCTCTTCAGTATGTGACAACATGTGTTTCTCCAGGCTGTTAAGAGAACAATTGATTTAATAAGACATGGTGACAAAGAATGCATTCATAAGCAGAACGTCATTTTATTACTAATACAATTGGCAATTAGAGAAAAAAGGAGGAAAGAGAAGAAAAAGACTTGGACAGACAAAAGTACATTTTATTATTTCTTAGACGGTGTCTCTCACCAATACAGAGATTTGCCCCTGTTCTTAGAAAATAAATCTGATACAGCGAGCGGAAATTACCTGCCTATTTAGGAGCATGGTAAACAATGCACTACATCTAGTTCTGGATTCGCTACACAATTCTAACACCAATGTGTGTTGCGAACACTTGCTTAATTCAAACACAGAAGCCTAAACAGAACATGTTATGAACATGTTTAAGAACATGTAGGCAGGTATTCTGTCTGATGTATATAACCCCTAGATTCAAAAAAGTACCTTTGGCAGCTGGCTGGTACAGGGATCCAAACCGTTGACCCTGTTCTTATCACACTGCGCTCTAACAACTGAGCTAAGTGGTGGCCTAACGGGTACAAAACTGTGCTGTCTACCCTAAGCGAATCATTGCACAGTATATGCATGTATTGAAACAACACACTGTACCCCACAAATACATACAAGTAAATGTTAGAATGCTTTGAATAAAAAAATTTTTTAAAGTACTTTTCTTTCTATCCATGTTATAATATGGGAAAGTAAACTGCAAGCTAACTATTCAACAAGCAACTTCCCAATATGACCCTGGGATGGATGGATGGATGGATGGATGGATGGATGGATGGATGGATGGATGGATGGATGGACGGATGAACAGATGCACAGATATGTGTGTATGTATATAGATATATACACACATATTTATATCTATATAGAGAGGAAAGAAAGTATATAATATTTTAAATGGATGCACTATTAAGACCCCTAAAAGAAAAACATGTTAGAAGTATCCAATAAGCATAGTTTTTCTATGTTTTAAAGTTTAGAATGTTTTCCCATCTCAAATGCTGTCCTCCCTTTTCTAAATTTGTATATGAAATCTACATACATGTAATGAAAAGCAAATATTATAGATAATGGGTTACTGTGATAAAAGATGTCTGCCACATTTTTGCTGATTAAATACATACACACATAACACACCAGGATACTACCCCCAAGTAATATAACCAGAGCTCCTTAGGGAAATAGCCTATTTCAAATCTAAAACATGAAATTCACAAGATGAGCCTTGAACATCTTGTTATAGCAAAAAAGATGTCTGCCACATTTTTGCTGATTAAATACATACACACATAACACACCAGGATACTACCCCAAAGTAATATAACCAGAGCTCCTTAGGGAAATAGCCTATTTCAAATCTAAAACATGAAATTCACAAGATGAGCCTTGAACATCTTGTTATAGCAAAAAGCAAGAAAGTTATAGATGCTTTAGAAAGAATTAGGGTGGCCACATGAAGAGATGTCCACTGAGAATAGTAAGTCCTTTAATCATAATGATATTCAAAACACAAACAGAATCTCACCGGTGACCCTTGGAGGATGCTGAATTCTGAAAATTAGTAAATAAAGGGAAAAAAAACTCACGTGCATGCCCTACTTTTCCTATAAAAACTGTGCTTCAGGGTGACCAAACAGAAAATGAGGGTAGTTTCTCTACATAGAATTAATCCAGATAACAAACAATAAAAGAATGATAGAATTAGAATACACTTATTTTACATCTCTAAAGAATTAATGAATTTAGGCAATTCATTACATGCCTCCTGATTGAAATAAAAAACATCATCAAAAAGTATTCTTGCTAAAACATTGAACTTAAATTCCAGCTAAGACTTGGGATATACCTACGAGTTTATAGGAAATAGAGGAGATGGAGAAAGATGTTAAACAACACCAGGGGGATATAAGAAGCAGAATCCAGACTGGAGGAAATGCTACAGGAAAAATAACTAGGCTTCTTCTATAGTTTTCTATAAATAAATTGTAATGAGAGAATAAGAAAGAGAGAACAAAAATTAGACTTGCCAACCAATTGTTATGTATGGACCTTATTTTGATCTTAATTCAAACAAAAAACTCTAAAAATTATGAGATAACTAGGGAAATTTGAACTCTGACTGGATATTTGATAATATTAAGGAATTATTATTCTTATAGTATGGGATTGAACTTATGTTTTATAAGAGACCTTACTTTCTATAGACACATACTGAACTATTTATGAATAGAATGATATAATGTCTAGGACTTGTTTCAAATAATCCAAAACAGATATAGCTGAGACAAGATAGACTTTTTGTGATAATAATTAAAACAGAACATATGGGGATTTTTTAATACCATCTTCTCTGATTTTGTGCATATTTGAAACTTTGCATAGTAAAAAGTTATTTTAAACAGACAAAAAACCCCACAAACTACCAATCATGCAAATGCTCTTTCTTTTCCATGGTTTATTTCTCTGTAAGATTAATACTCTAAATGTGAGTATCAATTAAGACCTTTGTGTGCCTAGGATATATCACCTAGTGCTTGTGTGGACTGTATGAGTGGGAGTGTTTATAAGAAAATGACATGCTCATTCTCATATCTTGGCAAATGAGAAATGCCTTTCCCACACTTTTTGTCTTCCTCAGCTTCCTCTCTACAACTCTATTCATACCAGCAGGTGAACTTATTTTTCCTGCCCCATGAGTCAGCCAAGTTGGAAATGCTATTCTATTTGAGCACAAGTGGCGATATCACCATGAACAAAAGGTACCAGGAGAGTACGGGTGTGTGGAGTCATAAGACAGGCCCTATCTTTATTTACAATCTGTAATCCTCTGTTACAAAAGTTGAAATGTTAATAAAAGAGTTAAGAGAGAGATATCAACAACTGCAGTTAACATTGAACTGAATCAGGGACATTCTCCAAAATCATTACACAGATTGAAATTCCCACTGTCCGTCCTTAGCAACCCGTGAAGGCAAGCTATTTTTTGATGTATATTCTAATATACTGTATGTCAGATCATAAACCCTAAAATCCAATGGCAAAAGATTGGCCTATACATGGAGTCTTATTCCTTCCCCTAATTCCAAGGGAATGGTTTACTTCTAAGAGTAATAAAGTAAACTGCACTTAGGGGATAAAACAGATTGCAAACCAAGAGAAATTGTCCTTTCTCTGCTTCTCCTAATCTAGCAGAAAATCCATATTGTTCCATGGCATTATTGGCTGTCAGCTAATCAGTGATAAAAGGAAAAAAACGGCAAGTCATTCTCACAAAAGCAAATGTGCAGTGCTCTCGTAAACAGAATCAAACTAGGCAGTCATTAGCGAGACTTCTCCACTTCTCATAGTAGTCTATCCCAATTCATAGAACTTCGCTCAGACTTCTGGGTTTTTTTCGGTTCTTTTCATCTTTTGCACATTAACCTCTGATTCTTTCTGCCTCTTTTTTTTTTGCATTCTTTTCTCAAGATTTTACATAGAAGTTACAGAAGAACATATCATGCCAAGAAAGGAATTTTCATTTGTTTAAAATATAAAGAACCGATATACCATTCAATAAAATGGGAAATATTTAGAGAATGTAGGTTCTGCGTGTGGCTAAATTATATAATTTATAACCGAAAATATCAATTGGAGGATTGACATTCAGTTGCATAGTGACATGCTTTATCCATTTTCTACAGACACACACCAAAAAGTAAGTTTTGAGAGTTTACCCACTGCCAGATAACTATGTTTCCTTATTGTTTTTCACTGCGTGACTAAGTCAACTAAAATGACAGCTAATTTCAACGTAAAATAGAGTTGACTTAGTTTTAATCTTACGGCTAGGCAAATAAAGTAGCTTCTTCCACCTAAGAAGTATTGCTATACACCTCTATTAGGAAGTAAGAATTACATTTTAGTGTTTAGCCTTTCAATTTTTGCTTTATAGTGTTGTCCATTATTTTTATAACAAAATTAAAGGAAATATACTTAATTTCTGATACTAGAGATATTGCTTTACAGTGTACTTTTTTTACTCATTGATATTTATTAATTTCATTTGTTTCTTTTTAATTTAGGCATGATTATATTTAAAGAACACGCTGTGACTGTTTTTATTCCAAATCCACATTTTACCAAGCATATATAACAGATTTATTCTCTATGTATATTTATATTAAGTAGCAGAGATGAATTTAAAGGGTTCTGGGAAAGCCCTCTTATTCCCCAAAACGTTTTCTCTCTAATAGCTAAATTAGGTCTGAATTTTCAGAGCTAGAGATTCATTCTTTTGACTCAATCTCCTAAAGGAAGGGGTTATACATAGTGTCTTTTAAGTCACTTATGCCTTAATGTGAATGACTACTATATGAAATCCTTTCCTAAAAGAGGCCCAACCAGGAGAAGAGGATGCAGGGCAATAAACGGAGATGAAAAGGAGCCACAAAGGAAAGAAAGGAAGCAAAATGGTAAACTGAAATAGGTGGAGTGTCCAAGACAAACTCTGAGTAATGCACATTCTTGAGCAAAGCAGTTGATATACTACCATTGTCATGTAAGTACAACGATGTTCTGTTCATCTGAAATTCTGATTACAGGTTCCAAGGATCATTTCCAGATTTAAAAGCAAAGTAATGAATACAATTACTAAAATTGTTTGTGGACCAAGGCAAAAACTATTAGATAGAAACAAACACACAAAAATCCTATTAGCTGGTTATATACTTTTCTGATCTTAAAGATCACTTTGTAACATGATTATCAATATAGTTCCCAAACACTAGGTTCCAGAGTTGTTGTTTTGTTTGATAGAAATAAGTTTTTTAAAAAAGTTTGTGAATTAAATTCAAAAAGTTAATATATCACTGAAATACAATTTTCATTTTGTTACAAATAAGTATTAATATAGTTCCCAAACACTAGGTTCCAGAGTTGTTGTTTTGTTTGATAGAAATAAGTTTTTTTAAAAAGTTTGTGAATTAAATTCAAAAAGTTAATATATCACTGAAATACAATTTTCATTTTGTTACAAATAAGTATTAAATATTATCATCTAGCTTACCATATTCATGCTTTTCCTTTTAGGAAATTCAATACTTTAGGAAATTGAATACACTCCTTTTATTTTTCTCTATATATGTGCAGTTTAGACAAATAGTTGAAATTGAATCCACAAGTTACACTGCTCTATGAAAAGATCATCTATCTTTCATTAAGTGAATACAAGATCCAGTCTCTTTTTAATCATCTACATATTTCTAGAGGTAACTTTTCTGGTTTTTGGCATATCATTACTTTAATTAGCATCATTTTTGTTCCAACACTCTCAAGTTTTTCTCTAAGTCATGATTTACTTTAAAGGTAAGACTTCAGTTCCCAATAGCACTACTTAGATAATAAAACAACATTATTTTCTACCTGACATCAAAATAATTAATTACAACCTCACTGTAAATATTTTACAGATGAGAAAGTCCAGGGAAAAATGATTTCTGAACATGTCATTAGCACATTTGTCCAGCTCAATGCAGTTCCAAATTTCACATGTGCATAAATTCTCAAAATTCAGCATAACATTTTATTGCAGAGTAAATACACAAGTTTTGTGGTGCAACATGCCATTTCTAACCTTTGCAAATCAGGAAAAACTTGGTCACACTCCTTACACTCCTGGATTGAGTGTATCTCTCGGAGATCATTCTCGCTTTCGAGTTTTTGTTGAAAGTCCTCTTCCACCATTGAAAACGCTGAGTGACTAGTGCACGGAAACTTCTGGTGATCTGCTAGTTCAGCCTTAGATTCAAAGAGCTGGTCACAGTCCTCACAGCGATATTGCCGTTCTTCTGTGAAAACAATTCAGGTGTTACTAGGTTTAGGTGGCCAGGAAGTGCCACCACAAACCAGCCAGTCTTACTGAATTATACAAGACATAACAGAAATCATTTGATTGTCATTTCCAACACATCAACTTTAAGGTAGATTAGAAATGATATATGTAAAGAATCAGGACACAGCCTGGAGCAGTAACATAGCAATTACTGTGGCTGCAGTATATCCTCCGGAACAGACAAAACTTCATGACTAAATCTTTCGAGGTTCAGAGGATACTAAATGTAATAATTACCATGTACTGAGCATCATCTATTTTCTCAACCCTGTACATTGATGATTGATATTCCTTAAAACCTGACTATGAGGAATTATAGATCTGATTTTTAATCCCAATTGTCAGGTGAGGGTATTGGGACTTGGTGAAGTTAAGTAATCAGTCAGGGAATATAGATTTAAGTGGTTGTGTCAAAATTTGAACCCATCTCTGCTCTATACACTTCTCACTATGCCAATGCCATGTTACCTGGAGGCACATGGGACACGGAGCCCCTGTGTGACTCATGCTTAAGCCTGTAAACTTAAGTAAACTTGGAAATGCTTTAACATTCATCATCACTTATAATGGGACCCAGGATGTTTTTAGTACCCTTCTAGGCTAATTTTTGGTCCCCCAGAGTTGATGCTAATTGGCATAGATTTGTTAAATACCAGACATATCATGAATTTGCACTTTAAATCAATAAGATAAGTAAATGGTAGTGGTGGGGACCAGAGATAACAAGATTATAAAGTATCAGGTAGGGATGGTACTGTTTCTATTCTTTCCATTTTCTTAGCTTTTAACCCGAGCCACGAGGCCACACTCTGCACAGATCACACAGACACAATTATTTCAGCTCACAATGCTGAGAAACACCCAAAGCAGACAACATGACACACAATCCCTGTTTTATAGACCTATAGCCAAGGAAGATGATATTCTTCAGTTGTTCATTGACTCAATGTTTTTGAGGGAATATTTTAGCGACCTACCTAATGCTAGGCATTTTGCTAGGGATGAATATGTCAGAAACTCAAGGGGATACACATGTGAATGAACAGACTGTGATACATTTTATGACAGGTGCATGCACAGGTCCTGAAGGAGCCCAGAAGAACATGCCTGATCCATTTAATCTGGGGGAAAGAGGTTCAGAAAGGCTTTGTAATGTATAAGAACCAGCCAGGTAAAATGCGATAAATGGGGGAAGCATAACAGGTTTACAGGGTGCATGTAGGGGAGGGGTGGGAAATGAAGTGAGAGAGGGTGACAAGGTCACTGGGGGCTTTTTAGGTCCATATTAAGAAGGGAATGGAAAGCCACTGAAAGTTGGAAAGCCAAGGCATATTCAGACTTGGTTTTTAGAAGAATTTCCCCCAGCTGCAGTGTGAGAAAGCAAGCAGAGGCCAAATGGGACACCACTGCTGTAATCCACACAAGACACTGGTTAGTTTAAACTAAACCAATAACAGTGGGGCCAGAAAGGTAAAGAAATGAGTATGTCGATTCAACAGTTTGTCAACTTTGGATGCAGAGGGTTAAAGAGGAGGGAGGTATTCTAAAATAAACCACCTCAGCTCTAAAGATAGGATTTTCAATGAAATTAACTAGTTAAGAGAAATGTTTTCTACAGTCTGTTACAAAATTCATATATTTCAGATCTGTATTTAGGATCTCAGCCAGGAGTCCGAACACAAACAGAACCTTCAGGCCACATAATATATGGAAAAGGCCTGAGCATCAGGGACAATAAAGACCTTGGTTTGAATGCTGACTCTACCACTTACTAGCCATGCAATCTTGGCCAGTTTACTTAGCCTTAGTTAGCCTCAGTTTCTCTATCTGTAAAATGGATGAGCAACTGGTGGATTCAAGATCAAGGAAGATAATTTATGAATGGCAGCCTCAAAAAAAGAATAGTAACTACTATTTAGGTCTTTTGGGAGTAGTAAATTAATCCATTATATTTCAAAAACTAATGGTTTGAAAACTTTTTTAGATCTAACATTCACAGATGAAAGAAGCATTTTACCAGAGAAGGACTATTTCATTTTTAATCATGTAAGCACTTCCACTGCCAAAGAGACCTTTCCCATTGGGCCAGACTCCTCATTCAGGCTCAAACTCCACCAGGCTGATTGGGTTTCTAAATCCATTTGCATGTTAAAGTTTCCAGGAGGAAAATGAATACAAGTGCTGTAACCTACAAAGAGGCAGAATGCAGCTCAGCCTACCTCTCTGGTAGGTTGGGAGAGGTAACCTTTCCCAGTAGCCCTTCCAGCTATAGAATACTCTAAAAGCACCATTAGATTATGTTGCACTAAATCACTTTATATTAGGAGAAACAAGAAGGAGAAAGAGAAAAATACAAAATTTAAAACTATTTGTAACTTATATATGTTTAATCC